AATAAAAAAAATTCATTATGTATCTTTTATAAAGATTTATTATTTAACATTTAAAAAAAAAAAATATTGAAAAGAAATATTTATTCAAAAATTTCTAAAAATCTACCAAATTTCCAACGAATTGTGTTCTTTGAAATGGTTTCTAAAACATTGGCTAATTGTCAATTGATTCAAACTTTATAAAATGGTAAATAAGGATTTACCTATATTTGGTCCACATGTTTTTATAATTTAGTAAATGTTTATATATTAATGAATAAAAAATTGTTTTCATATTTATTTCTTTATAAATTGGTAAATGATAAATATTGCATTACATTAGTTTTAATTGTATTAGTTTTTTGAATGTTGTAAACATTAAATTATTTTCTGTAAATAAACAATCTAATAAATAGTGTTTAATATTTTTTGTTGTAAATTCTCAAGGACAAAAAAAAAAAAATGTGTAAATTCACTTTCATCATGTTTAGATTTTATTACAATTCTAGTCATCAATTTCTAAAACAAACATTTCCGAGGATTGAATGTAGTTTAAAACAACAGCAGTGTCAAGGGAAAAACCTGTCCTTTTGATACACCATTTTTTTTTTTCGCAAGCACCAAGGTTAAAGATTGTTGAATGATTTATAGAAATATGTAGAACTTATGGTCAAGGGGTCATAACTGACCAAGCAAGTATGAAATTGGTCTGAAATGTTTGGTTCTGGAGAAATGTTGTTGGTTGGTTTTGTTTAGTGGCATATGGCTTATTTAATGCTGAAATCTAAATATTTTGCATGCAATTTTTTTCTTTGGAGATAATGATTTTTAGTGATACAAGTCTTACTAATTAACCTATTGCTGAAGAAGAAATGGTGGATTCATATCTTTCCCAAGGGTATTTGCATGTAAGTGAATTATAATGAACCCAAATGGAATTCCAAGCCATTATCCATTACACCACTTGGCATTCTCAAATGGTTACCCATCTAGGCACTGACCAAGCTCAATGTTGTTCAACTTCAGTGTAGTGGCTCAGATTGAGGAATGGGAGAGCCGAGTTTGAATTCCAGTTGAATCCATCACATTCACTTACATGCTAATACCCTTGGGAAAGGTATTAATCCTCTTCTTTTCCCCCCAGCTATGGGTAAATACCAGGACAGACCGGGTTCTATAGTCGGATAACAACAGGTCTACCGCAGAAACCTACTACAGGAAAAAATCTGCCTCATCAGTCATGTATCAAAAGATACATGATCGCCTAAGTGTGTATCACGCATGGCACATAACTGACTGACTATACAGGAATCAGTATTTCAACCTAAGCCAAAATGTTGTTGGAAGATGAACTCAGACAGATGAAACTGTAAAGCCATGATTGGAAAGCAATTTATGGCAAAATACTCATGAATTAGCCGAGATATTAAACACAGCGCAATCTACCATATGCCAAGTCACTTAGAAAGGATAAGTCCACAAGCTGGGTGATTGCATTTCACATTGATTGCTCTTAGCAAGATGATAAACCAAGGTGATTGCTCTTAGCAAGATGATAAACCAAGGTGATTATTGATGAACAAAAGAAAAAACATTTACCATATTTGACAGCATATAATGTGCACATTTTTTTTTTTTTTTTTACTAAAAGTATCTTTTAAAATTCCCCCACATCTTATATGCCATATGTAGGTTTAAAATTTGTGATAGTCATCCAAAATTAAATGACGCATTATTTAATGATGATGATAGTATTGAAAATGAGTGTCAGAGTTTTGATAACGAAGATGACAAACTTTATGGATTTGAAGATGAATAAAATTTTAATGGTAACTGTACTGTTTCGCTCAATTGTAATAATTGCATGATTTTTATTTTGTTTTCTTACCTTTGGATATAATAAAGTTTTTATAGGCTTGTGTCCTTTTTTTTCCTATTATTAATTTAATTGTAATCATGGTTTGTTTAACCAAAATAATACCTCATAAATATAGCCTAGGCTGTACCATTTACTAATAATTTTACTAATTACTAATTTTTTCTTGGTTTGCCCTGCTGAAATTGGAGTGTGTCTTATACACCCGTATCTTACATGCTGTCAAATATGGTATGTCCTAATTTAAGAGTTACAAAAATTCATCAAATAATAAGAACGTCTGTCTATATTTCTGAGATGAGGTATTGTAATGATTTACACCATTTATATTGTTCAGACTGTTGTCCTCATCTTTATTGACATATTCAGGATGTTTCGGCCATTGTACACTCCGGCCTTCTTCAGGTGATATACATTAGAATTTCACACTGAACCCTTTATTTAGTCCACAGGGGTAGATTGTTCTAATTCCACATGCCATGCCATGCCTTTGGATATCTCGGTTTAAGTTAATTCCCCTTAGTAACTCAAACCTTCAAGGATTTTTCTTCCCTCAGCTATGATCAGGGTTTGAACTCACAACTCTTTGGGCCAAGTCACTTTTTGGATCACTCAACCAATGCTTTTACCCCCAAGGACACATGGTGCAGTGAATAAAAGCATTGATTGAGGGATATAAATAATTTGCAATCTTATTGGTCCTGAGCTGGTTTCTCTGTTTCAGTCACTCTCCCACCATCTTAACATAGCTTCCCTGTGACTTTTCTATAAATACTTTCATGGTAATTGTTCTGTGTAACTTTCCTCAATGATACCTAGACTTTACGAATTTAAGTATACTACTAGATTGGCAATTAGGTCTCATTTTACAGTTGAAATGGTTAAATGTAGCCATAAGTTCTATGCTAATAGTTTTTTCTCTTGCACTTCTTGCTTGTGAAACTCTTCTGGTTTCTTGCTTTCCAGCCAACTTTGATCTTCATAAATTTAAATTACAATGTTAATCGTTATCTTGTCTTTTCAATTCCTGTTCTTTTAATGCTCTTTCTCTCTTTAGTAATGTATTCTTTTTCTCATATTCTCTCCCACTTAGTAGCTCCCTTGCATCTTAGTGGCTTTATTGCTTTGCTTAAGAATGAAATGATAAAAAAAACAATTATCAGCATTGTATGTGTTTATCAATTCTTATTACACATTTGTTTTTTTTTTTTTAATTTTTTCAAGTTGTCATTTTCCTCCAGGAATGTGGGCCCAGTAAACAGTAATCAGGCCAATATAGTTTATCAGGTTGTGAATAAAGAGTGATTTCTTTTCAGCAGTTATAAGAGAAGCGATGACTTCAATTTCTTTTCATTTTATAAAAATAAATACCCAATTACATTATGTATCAAATACAAAATTAAAATACAAGAATATACAGTAGAATACAAGAAAAGACAAAACTATAATTCAAAGTCCGGGTTTTTTTTTTTGTTTTTTTTTTATAAAAACAAAAAAGAAAACAGAAAGAAAAAGGAATGGAACAATCTTTCAGCAAAAGAAAGTTTAATGATGAACCCATTTTATTAAAGTTAAGCAAAAATCTCTGTAGATGTTGCAAAACTGTGGCAAGAAGTCTTTACAAAATATTTGTTATTAGGAATTATATACGTTTTATTTTAGTCTATTTTTTCATTTGTAAATCACACTTAAATTGGTTTCAGTTGGCTGCTTAAATCTGTTAAATCCCAAATTGTCAAATTATTGCAGCTTCATGTTTGGTAGAAAATGACAAAGATACTTAATTTGCTAATAAACTATACCTTTTTTTAAAATGTCACAGAGTTTTCATTTAATACATTGGCTGCAAGCGAGTTTTTTTTTTTTGGGGGGGGGGGTTTAAACCAGGTTTAATGCTACCTACTTCTGAAATGGTTAAAATTTGATCCAACAACTGTTCAGACCAGAGAAACATCTAAAGTCATTGTAGGTTGCTAGCCTAACTTACTTAGAATCTACTGAATAGATTTAAACCAATAAGGTTGTGTAAGTGGAATTAGGTCAACCTTGAAGATCATCAAAATTCAAAAAGTAAGGTCGAAAGAAGCCAATTGTCATTGAAAGTAAATACGTATTCTCACATAAAAAAATATAATGGTAAGGGAGGTAAATCAAACTTATAGTAGTAAATTAATGCGTGGTTACTTCCCTTAGGCATTTCAACAATAAACAAATAAAATGTCTCTTTATATAAAAAAAGAGAAGACATTTAGACAAAATTACTTGCGGAGCAATGCCTCGTACATCTGCAGGTACTTCGTTTCAAAGACAAGAATTAATTCTTTATCAAAAATATACTAGCGGAGATAAAGACTTATCAAATGAAAGATATTCATTTAAAAGTCATGGTTGAAATATTTGACTATTCAAAATTAAAACTGTTAAGAATTCAAAACATGAATTTTTAACCCAATTTGTTATAGGCAATTTTTGATATTTTGTTATACAGATAACTAGATTAGATATAATTTTCTTTTTAGAGGAAGGAAGAAAAATGGTTGGCCACCAGGTTTCGGTCACTTCTAAGTTTATGGTTTTGGAATATATTGAAGAATCTTTGTCTTGAATTAATATCCGGATTTTGGAAAAAAGTGCTTGCAGCAATTTGGGTGACAGTAACCATGTTCTGTACAATGTTTAATAAGCGTTATAAAAAAAATATATTCAATGAAATTATGAAAGATAATTTTTATATAAAGGTGTGCAAAGCAAATAAAAATTCCTTAATAAATTTTACTTGTAAATAGATTTAGGTTTTTTAGTTTAGATTTGTAATTGAAACAAATTTTATTGGAGAGAAAAAAACTAAAAAAATCAACAAATCCATTCAAGGGTTGATATTGATTGGTAAAGACCTGTAAAAAAAATCAAACAAAGTAAAAAAATAATAATTTCTGAGGGTTTCAAAAGGCACCCTGATATTTGTTTGAAAACAAAAGATTTGTCATGGTGCCGCCATTTTTGCAGATGCTCTAGAAGAGGATGGATTTTTTTTTTTTTCTTCTGAAAGTGAGTATATAGAGCATCTCCACAAAAAAAAAAAAAAAAAAAAAGGTCAGTACAGACTGAACTCTCTTTATTCAAGAGTTTAATCCTTGCTTTCCACCTTGTTATTTTTACCAAGGATCTTCATCAAGTTCTTGTTCATGAAATATGGCTTCTCGGCACTTCCATCATTCTTCTCCAAGTCTTCCACTAAAAGAAGAAAAAAAATCCTTCAAAGTTTGAATATTTCCGGATAGACACTAAAAGAAAAGAATTTAAAAAAAATTAAATAATCAAGATTTTGATGTTCCACTCTACTTGAAACAAAAGGGTAGGAAAGAAACCTCCATCAATACTGAAAAGTGTAAGTATGTGAGTGGAGTTGAGAAATCTATTTGTCCTGAAAAATTGATTTAATAAAGAGATTTTATAAATTTTAACTGAAAGTAGCTTTGACTGCTCAGTCAATGAAGGCCAAATATTTTCAAATAAGAAAATAATATTACCATTAGAGCTGAGGAGAACAGATACTACAAGTCAATCCCAGTATGATAGCCAAGAAGTGAAGAAAAGCATAACTCAAGTAGCACAGGCCGCTCTGTCAATGAATGCTGAATGTTTCCATATAAGGAAACGGCTAATATTACCATTAGAGATGAAGTGAATAGAGACTACGCTTTGATTCCAGCCTGATGGTCAGTGAAAATCGTGACTGGAATGGCACTGGCTGCTTGGTTAATAAATGTTTCCATATAAGGAAATGGCTAATATTACCATTATCATAAGCATTTGCCTGAAATAGTTATAACCCAGCAACATTTTTTTTTTTAAAACAAGCAAATAAACTCAAAATTGTCTTGACAGGACAATTAAAACTTACATATTAACCTGGAAAATCAAGAACATAAGGCAAATCCAAAATGGAGGTGATAAAAATAATAGTTTTAATAGACATAAATTTGGAGCCAAATGAAAAATATGTTTCTCATTGGCTAAAAATGATAATCACCATTATGAAGGAGTACTATGAATAATGGTTGGCCAAAACAGACCAAAAAAATTAAGCAGATTCCAATTGGTCAGAATTTATCCATAGGCTTGAATAAAAGGATCAGTGGAGTAGGCACAAATAATATTATTACAATTTTTGCAATCATGCAAAAGCTATACCTGAATGCCAAGAAATGGTCACTCTTGGCTGAGCCCATGGTAGAGAAAATCTGATCTTATGAAGGCCTAAAACTTTCTATCATCCCAGAATAGACATCATTGAAGAAGCATTCTGGTGTGCAATAGATGCATATAAAACAAATGAACAGTTGATTTGATTGTAAGAGAACTACATTTGGGCATAGAGCTGCATATACCAGATTTTTTAAAAATTTCTAACCCTCTTCAGGATGTAGACAATCATATCCCTCCACATTTTTTTTTTGTGAAATCACAAAAATGTTCTTGAGAAAGGTGTTTTTTCTGTTGTCTACTTCAAAGTTACTATGGCAGAATTTATTTATATTCCCACCTCAGACAAAATGTGAAATAAGGTTGTATTTACAGTGAGAACCCGCACATGCAATAGCCAAAGAGACAATAATTGCTCAAGTAGACCTTGTCACTTCTTGTTTTGGGGTAGTCTCAGGCTCCAGGTAATGATCCTGGACCTCTCCTGAAGGAAAGGTGACATCTGTAGTGACAGCTTCTTGAGGCTAGTGCATATTGACTTTCAACTTTTCTGGCCTGGCCAAATGGTTAATAAGGCTGGAGAGTTCAGTATACCCTACTGTTTAACTCTTTGTGAAGAAGTGAACACAACAGCTTATGTCAGGTCACACTATAAATCGTACTGGTACCATGTAATCTGGTACTACTTATTGTAGGTTGGGTCATTAACAAATAAACCTGTTCCCCCACCAGGCTTTTCTGGTGAGGATGGCTAGAAACCGAGTAGAAATAAAGACAAGACTCATCAAAGAGCAAATGGATCTTCTTGTAGGGTCAATGGCCATCTAGCACAATGGTATAGACTGGATTTCACAGCTAAGTATGTAGCCAGTGTGGTGATGGCATATTAGGCAAAGAGCTTCCTAGACCAAAGCTAAGGGTCAACCAGAGGACATTGCTCAGTATCTTTGCAAGCATACCCGGTGATAGCATGGATGATGATGATGAACACAAGAGTGATAGCTGGAATTTCAACACTGCCTACTGTCTCCATTTTCCAGTTTGATAACCGATAGGCCATCCACAAATCTTACACTATATATGACAGGCGTATAGTCACAAGATGATATGAGAATGTAATTTTCTGTCCTGCTTCATAGCTAATGTAGTTTATATTTCCTCATAAACACCAGTTTAGGAATCCAAGGTTTCAAAACAAAAGGGAGGGGCCAATTTTGAATACTGATCTGAATGCCGAGAGGCAAGCTTTCATCAAACAAAATATTTCGGCCAGTGATGCTGTAAGATAATATAATTGTCTTTTAACAAGGACAAAATGTGTCTGTTTAATATGAAGCCTGAGATGTGTAGGTAAAAGCAAGAATAGCCAAGATTCATTAAATTTTGCCACAGATGTCAAGGTAGCCTGATGGAGCCCAATTCTCTCCAGGCTGATTTGAATTCAGAGTTTTCCTTCTCTCAGACTAGTCACCAACGAAGGCTTATAGAGAGCCCAGTCTGTTCTGTTATTTACCCATAGCTAGAAGGGGAGAAGAGATGAATTTATACCATTTCCAAGCATATTAGAGCATAAGTAAATGTAATGAACTCAACTGGAATTTGAACTTGACTCTCCATCTCCTCAATCTGAGCCACTATCCATTACTGCACACAGACTCCATTTTCCACTTTGGTAATTACTAAGCCACTCACAAGTCTTATACTATTGGTACATGGTCACAAGAAATAATAATATGAAAATGTAAATTTTTTTTCTGGCCTGCTTTTTAGCTAGTGTAGTTTATATTTCCCCAAGGGATACAACGTTTCAAAAGTGTGTGTGTGTGTGTGGGGGGGGGGACACACAAAATCTTGAAGGCTGATTTTCAAGAGAGGCATGCTTTCTTCAATTGGAAGAATTACTCATACAAATAATTTTGGCCTGTGCTGCAGTAATATAATTGTCTCCCAACAAGGACAAATTCAATCATTTCAGTCAGTGCCATGCATGATACACGCTTAGACGATTATGCATCTTTCAATATATAACTGACGAGGCAGATTTTTTTCACACAATAGGTTGCCATTTCTTTCTGCGGTAGACCAGTTGCCATCCTAGGTTATAGAACCCAGTCTGCCTTGCTATTTACCCATAGCTGGAGGGAGAAGAAGAGGTTTCATACCTTTCCCAAAGGTATTAGCACCATATGGTGAAGTAATGGATACCGGCTCAGATTGAGGAATCGGAGAGCCAAGTTCAATTCCAGTCAAATACATCACATTCACTTATATGCTAATATGGCAAAGGGGTGGGGGCAATTAATCATAGTATATGATTTTCTTCTAACCAGTCTTACTTTTCTCTCTTAATAACATTTCAGCTGTATACCGTCTGGCTTTCCTCAGGAGCCATCCATAGTTCCAGAATAAGACTCCTCAGAAGGACAATAAAGACATGGCCAGTTTAATGTAAATCTTTCACTTTTCTATGTGATTTGCTTAGAAATTACCTAGTTCTACTAGCATTTTGTGCAGACATCAGGGTATACATACTAAATTAATCCCATTAGTGCAATAAGGAGGTATTGCCTTGGACACAGATCCCCAGGAACCAAGCAAGTTTTAGTTTGTGTACTGTCTTCTCCGAAGATGGAACAAGCTAATTTATATTAATATGATTCATCTTTTTTTAGTTTAACAAATATCATGAAACATTACTTTTTTGGTTCTTTTTCTTCTATATGCCATGTCACTTCAGGACATTGGTGATCAGGATTCACCACAAATTCTTGTCCTTTGTAGCTCTCTTAATAAGAATAAGAAATGTCTTTTTGTTATCTCTCTTAAACCCTAACCTCTGCCATCCATTTACTCAAACTCACTAGGTAGGTTATGCGTTGTTTTCCCCTGTTCCACTTGCCTTCAGTCTGTCCTGTGAGTAACAAATTTTACAAGCCCTCTTTCCTCATAATGTGCCTAGAAATTTCAACTGTTTCTGATGTTAAATATGTGTCCATTTTGTTTCCATTTCCTCTAAAATTTTGTAGTTTCCCCATATGTTTGGTCAATGGTATTCTTAGCATCCTTCTGTAGAATCCTATTTTTTTTTTGCTTCAAGTCTCTTCTTCATCTGTGAGGAGATTATCCCACATTCACTGCCATATAGGAGGACTGATATTACATAACAGTTCAGTACTCTTTTCTTTGTTTCTCTTTGCAAGTCTCTTCTTCATCTGTGAGGAGATTGTCCAGCATTCACTGCCATATAGGAGGACTGATATTACATAACAGTTCAGTACTCTTTTCTGTTTCTCTTGCTTCAAGTCTCTTCTTCATTGTGAGGAGATTGTCCAGCATTCACTTATATGAGGACTTATTACAACAGTTCAGTACTCTTTTGCTTCAAGTTCTTCTTCATCTGTGAGAAGATTGTCCAGCATTCACTGTCATATAGGAGGACTGATATTACATAACAGTTCAGTACTATTTTTCTTTGTTTCTCTTGCTTCAAGTCTCTTCTTCATCTGTGAGGAGATTGTCAGTTCACTGCCATATAGGAGGACTGATATTACTCTTTTCTTTTATTTGTTTCTTTTTGCTTCAAGTCTCTTCTTCATCTGTGAGAAGATTGTCCAGCATTCTGTCATATAGGAGGACTGATATTACATAGCATTTCAGTCCTATTGCTTTCTCTTTCTTCATCTGTGAGGAGGTCCAGATTCACTACATAGGAAGACTGATATTACATAACAGTTCAGTACTCTTTTCTTTGTTTCTATTGCTTCAAGTCTCTTCTTCATCTGTGAGGAGATTGTCCAGCATTCACTGCCATATAGGAGGACTGATATTACATAACAGTTTGGTACTCTTTTCAATGTTTATAACAAAATTTTCCTGTTTCTGGTTAGCTATGTTATTTCAATAATTTGTAAGTGGTTCTTTTTTATTCGAAATATTTCTATCTGTTACCTCCTTGCCTATTGATAACTATATTTTTTAGCGAACAAAAGAAAAGAATATACTTACAGAAACAGAGAAACAATGTGTCGACTGCCATCTCATAGACGCTAAAGAAACAATCTGTGATAATGTATGCACCAATAATTATCACCTACAAATGGAAACAAAGGTTTTGTTAGAAACAAGATTTAAATATACTGTACAGGTTGAGAATCCTTTATCCAAAATTCTTGGGGCCAGAAGTGCTTTGATTTTCAAATTTTGTAATATGGGCTATTTCATTTGTATATAGCATTTATTTAAAAACAGTAAAATAACAATGTAGAGAATAAATCTCTGGTAAAATTTGAACACCTTATAATTCGGTGCCTGAATTTCACAAAAATAATAATAATAAAAAAAAAAAAAAAAAAAAAAAGTTTATCATTCAAATCTTACCAGATCTTTATCATCTTTTGTGTTTCCAATCTACACTACTAATTTAACTATAAGTTAACTGGAAGTTTCAATAAAGGGCAGTAGAAATCAGATGAAATTGAGACAAGACTATTATGTCTACGACTAGTACAGGTTGAAAACTATTTATCCAGAATTCTTGGGACCGAAATGGTTTTGGTTTTCAGATTTTGGAAATCAGGCTATTTAATTTGTATATAACATCTATAAAATGGGGTAGCTTCAGAATGGAACCCAAGCATAAACACAATATCCTTTTACATTTCATAACACAGTTTATACATATAGCCTGAATGTAGTTTTATGTAAATAACATACCGTGAAGGTAGTTTTATATAAATAATATATACCTTGAAAGTAGTTTCATATAAAATTTAATAAATTTTGTTTACATACAGATACAAGTAATGACACTAGTCATATAATGCTCACACAGATTTTTAAGTGTTGAAATTAAGATTTCACATAAAAATAATGTTTTGTACTTTCTGTATGTGTAAAAAAAGACATGATCACTACTTACAAAAAATATATAAATATCTTTACTGAACATGAAACACCTGATAAGTAGTCCACAAACAATGGTTTTGCTGTGATGAAATCTAACAAAAAAAATGATGCCAATGTAGGCCATGTAGCTGGGCTGGGGAAGATCTTCCTTTCAGCCATCAAGAATTATGTCTATATTTCTTCTTACTGACTCTGCTCATCATTGACTCTGCAATACCTGACACTACATCTTTATGAATAGCTTTTGACTGCCCACTCTCTGACCATGACTCATTCTCATTACTTCACTTTACATCTCAATGGACAGCTTGTAATTGGCCACTATAAGTAGCCTCTATCTAAAATGTGGTCTGGTTGGAATTCCCTACTTTCCAGTTGAGTGACACTTGATTCCAAAAGTATTTATTTATCTATTCTCTTTTTCCTTATGTGTGGACAATGTGGGGGCTCTTACATCTCGATTTTACGATTGGTCATCATGAAACTAGGACCAGATAAAATCATTCACTGTTTATGTCTTATGTTATAAGATGATTATGATCCATTGTATCACACACACAAAAAAAGGAAGCACTTTCAGTATCAAACCAACAAAACATAAATGCTAATTGTAATATTTTATTTATTTTTGTCATTTATTCATTTCAAATCAAGAAAAAAAAAAGCACAAAAATGATCATCATTTTGCATATGAATGACAAATGAATAACATTTTCAATACAAAATCAACTTACCACAATGGGGACAACGTAGAAATTAAGGCCAGAAATGGTGTCATTCAAAGTAGACACAGGTAGTTTCTTAGTGAATACAAAGTAAGATGCAACACCTGTAAGAATTTAAAGAAAGAACACTTTATTATAATCAAGGATTATATATTTCTGTCTTGAAAAACCACACACTCACACTTTGTTCTGAAACGCATACACACATTTTGTTCTGAAAACACACACACTCTCCCAAGACACACACGCATACATACATACTTTGTCCTGAAACACAGTTACTTAATAACAGCAATTAGGAAAATTTGAAGATGAGAAACTTTTGAAGTTAATAGCAATAAAAAAAATCAGTTAAATGGTGATAAAGTAATTTGTAGCAATTCTAAGATGGAGAACTTTGTAGAGATCAGAGGCTGTGAATGAAAAGACAAAACAGTTTCATGGCTAAAGAAGAAATGACTGACTATATCTCTGCACAGTTGGGACCATACAGAAAGAACAGATGTCAACCCCCCCCCCCCAAAAAAAAACAAAAACAAAAAAAAATTAAACAATATTCCAGCCAATAAAATCACTTCTTGTTAAAACCAAAAACCCTCTTCTGCCATCCTCTGCAAGCATAAAAAAAAACTTCTTCTCAACCAAGAAAACACCTTTACCTTCTCATGAGTTTATGTCACTTTACCTGCCCAACTTTTGACACCAACTATCACAATGCAGGCATTTAAACTAACATATACTCATATTGTGTGCAACTTCGGTAAACCTTATGGGCAACATGTTCTGCAAACATACAACGCAAAGCTTTCCACTGACCAGCAAAGGATGATCGGCCATGTTGAATTTTGATTCTTGATTTTTGTGTGCACTGGAAGCTGGGGAAAGGTACACTGAAATGCTCACAAGGTAACAAGATGAAAGACAAACGCCACATCAAGAAATAACACAAACCCTGCTTCCCATATTATATGTAGATATTTTATATCAAGGCTTCATCTGCTAATAGGGGTAGGTATGTTGGTAGATGATACTTGTGACAAGTTCTGCTATATCAGGTCTTTCCCTTACCAACTCCCCTTTCTGGATAAGACGTTAAATTATGTCCAGTAGCAAGGCCTCTGATCAGGAGGTTTGAGGAGCGTGGAACCACCTCTTAATTGCTGGTGTTCCCAGGTCCACCCTGACCTGGGGTGGTAGTACCTGTTAAGCTCCCAGCTATGGGCAAATAGTTAACTATTGCCAGCAATACTTTTTTGAAAAAAATTATTACCAGCAATACAATTTTGAAGGAAATATATTACCAGAAACAGATTTTTGACAAAACAAAATATTACCAGTAATAAAAAATGTTGGGATTAAATAACCCATTGAGGTTGATATGCTGTAAAACAAAATAAACCAAACCAATCTAAACCAAAGAATACATATTCTATTCATATGAATCTATCCTAAAAATGTTGTCGGCATTAAATAACCCATTGAGGTTGATATGCCATTAAACAAAATAAACCAAACTAAACTTAACAACTCACTACTGAGACATCTTGCTGGGCATTTCCTATTCTGTTTAGAACATTTTTTTTAAGGTATGATCTTAAACTTTGACCAGCTAGTATTTTCTGTGTATTCAAATTTTCCCTATTAAATGCTAAAAGAGTTTTTAATTTTTCTTTTCTTATTTTCATTTTTAAAACTCTACTCAAATGATCAAGTCTAACAATGCAAAAGGTATATTTTTCTTTCTTTTCATTGGTCTTAAAATTTTCACCAGCAGTGTGTAATCAGTCGGTTAAGGGCCATACCTGATACACGCTTGGATGACCATGTATCTTTCAATACGTGACTGACGAGGCAGATTTTTTCCTGTAGTAGGTTGCCATTTCTTCCTGTGGTAGACTGGTTGCTAACCAAAGATAAAGAACTAAGTCTATCCTGCTATTCAACTCATAGCGGGGGGGATTGAGAAGAAATGGAGTCATATCTTTCCCAAGGGTATTTGTGCATAAGTGAATCTAACAAATTTGACTGGAATTTGGACTTGGCTCTCAGAGTTCTCACTTCGAGCCGTGTATAATACAAAGTGAAAAAAAAAGATTCAATACTAATTTTTTGAGGGTATATTTGTTAAATTCAACCAACAAGTATTGTCAGTTTAATTTTTTTTTTTTTGTATTTTTCCAATTTTAGAATACAATGTTGTACAAAATTGGGGACAAACTGTCCAAAAGTTTGTGCATTGTGTTTTTGTTCAAGTACTTTCAAGTGTCTCAGCCATTATCAAGAACAGGGTGTTGTAAGTGTGGTAGACAAGATTTTGTTGGTTACATCCTAACAATTTTTCTAATGCTGTGATTCAAATTAATCCAAACTGATATGCATAACAATTAAAGCAAGTTAGACAGTACCAGAAAATGTTAATAGCCATTTCCTTATATAGAAGCATTTAGCATTCACTAACCAAGCAACCAGTGGTACTTGAGTTATGCTTTTCTTCACTTCCTGGCCATCTTGATAAAATCCAAAAAAGAATCTGCAATGTTATTGGTCCTGACTTGGCATCTCAATTTCAATCACTTTCCCACCAATGCAATGTAGCTTCCCAATGACTTTTCTATATTTTCATGGTAATTGTTCTGATGAGTTTTCCTCTTTGGTACCTTGACTTTATGAATTTAAGTGCAGGTTGGTAGATAGGTCTCATACTTTTAGAGATAAAATGGCTAGATGTAACTGTAAGTTCTATGTTAACAGTTTCTTCTCTGGCACTTTTTGCTTGTAACACTCTTCCAGTTTCTTGCCTTCCAGCCAAATTTGATCTTCAAAAATTTAAATGCAATGCCAATCGTTATCGTCTGCTGTGTCTTAATTCCTTTTCTTTTATTGTTCTCTCCTTGATACTGTTTTCTTTGCCACATACTTTTTTTCAGATTCAATAAAAGCCTTTGTGTCTTAGTGACTTTATTGCCTTACTTAGGATGAAATAAAAAAAAAAAAAAAAAAAAATTGGACCCAGAGGTACCACAAATAAAGATGTGGAAAAAAAGAAATGTAATGTTATTAAATCTAGTGAAGAGTTTCTTACCAATTCCACAAACAATCACAAGCCTACTCATCAGCAGTACAAAGTCTGTAGCTTTGTCGATTACAACAGTCCTAAGAAAGAGAAAAAAATTATTTTTAAAAATGTAGGAAAAAAAAAATGGAAATAAAAGAAAATCATAAAAAAAAGGTATTAAAAAAAAAGGTATTAAAAAAAAAAAAAAAAAAAAAATTGCGTAAGTGAATCTAATGAACCCAACAAGAATTGGAACTCAACTCTCTGAATAACAATTCCAAGACATTACTGATTACACTACCTGCACATCTAACAGCACCGGGTATTCTCAAGTGGTCACCCATCTAGGTACCAGACTCAATGTTGCTTAACTTTGGTGATCACATGAGAATCAGTGTTTCAATGGGATGAAAAGTAAGACACCAGTTTTGAAAAATATTCTCTTCATCAGAGTGTCTGTCGACAATTTTATCGTCCAGGCTTTTGCCCCAAGAGACTCTTCAATAAAACATCATGTGCAGTGAAGGAGAAAGTGAGAATCAGTGTTGATGTTAGATGCACATTTCCTGCAAAGACCAGTTATTTTCTTGTTGAAAGTCTCACCTAAATTTTTATTGTCAAGTGTTCACTGCAAGAGTGCAGGTTTGCGTAGAATTGGTTGATAGAAAAGTCGAATGCAGACCCATACATCTTTCTAATAAAATAGTACATTAAGATTTTCAAACATTCAAAATATCAGTTTCCTTTCTAAATTGTTAGTGTGTTTCGATTTGGTGACTATTAAGTTGTAAAATTCTTGAATGCAATATAAATATAAATCACATATTTAGTAGCACTTTGGTTAATTTTACATTTTTTTTTCCTTTTTGTTGTTTGGGAGTCATTTAAGCAACATTGATGTCAGTAGAACAATCTACCACTGGGGACTAAACAAAGGGTTTGGTTTGAAATTCTTACGTATATCACCTGAAGAAGGCTGGAATGTATAATGGTCAAAATGTTATGAATATGGCAATAAAGATGAGGACAACAGTCCAAACGATGTAAATAGTATAAATAATCAGTAGTGGAGATGTTTAAGATTTGGAGAAGACAAAAGTAAGTGAGTAATATTCAATATGTCCATCCCAAAGCATAAAAACCTGATCATAATTTAAACAATATTCACTTGTTAAATACAGGGTGTCTCAAAATAATGTATACACTCTTTAAATATTAATAGTTAATAATACATTACTGTGATGTGAGAACTTATATGGATGAAAAAATGCAAAACAGATGGATTGGAAGAGGAGGAACAGTTGAATACCCACCTAGATCACCAGATTTGACACCCTGGAATTTCTTTTTGTGGGGGATTTCTAAAAGACAAAGTTTACATCTGGAAACCTGAAAAAAGTAGGAGAGAAATGAGGTGGCAACTGAAGAAGATTGGACATGAGTAGGCTTACACCTTGTTTCTTGTCTGGACGGGGTTCCCTGCTGTTTCTTCAAGATACTCTGTATTTTAACAGGTCTGTTTCTCCCAGTTTGCATGCAGTCTGTGGCAACATCTCTTCATTCTGAGGGTACATTCTGACATTGTTCTCTGTTGCTTTTATGGTAGTTAGGAGCCCTAACTTTTCAATGTTTTTTTTTTCTCTGATCAAATTCTATAATACGGTATTTGTTCTCATGTAATCTGGAAAGGTGTCCCTGCAGTCAAAATCCATAAATTGAATGAGGCCACATAATGATTCAAATTTTGCCAACTCCTATTTTGCCCGACACCCCTGTAAACTGTCTGTTTTTTTTTCTTGGCCTTCTCATCTTTGCAAATAAATCCAACATGAGTTACAAAACCGAAAGATTTACCTAAACCAGCATCTCAGAAACCACCTAAACCCCTCAACATTTCATTCTCCAACATCCGGGGCATTAGAACAAACTTCTACAGTCTGGAATCCTTCCTCACCTGCAAACGGCCCGGATGTAAAAGCTCTGTGAGACAAACCTTGTCTCATCTATCCCCTTCTGATCTCTCGATCCCCTGCTATCTTCCAACCTCAGAAAAGACTCTCTAACCCACATGCACGGTCTTGGTGTCTATGTCAAGGAACATCTCCCCTGACCAGAGAGTCCTCTCTTTCGCCTGACCAGTCATACATGTGTCTCCGTCTCTCTCCCTCAATGCGGTAAGCTATCTCTTCTTCCTTTACCGGATCTCCATCCTCTCAAGACTGTGAGATACTTGATAGCATTTCTGACAACATAGACAAGGCTCTCTCCTCCACCCGTTTGCTCACATTTTTGTGTTTGGAGACTTTAACGCCCATCACACTCTGTGGCTTAAGAATGCTACTACTGACCATGCAGGCATTCAAACGCTTAATTTTTCAATCTCCCATTCCCTCACACAGATAGTTAACTTCCCCCACTCGTTTTGCCCTCAACCGGGTAAGTAAAGCCTCTCTACTCGACCTGTGCTTTACCTCCATCCCCCCAATCCTGCAGCGCCTCTATAATATTTTCACTTGGTAACTCTGACCATGCAGTAGTATCGGTTAACATCTCCTTTAACTCCTCCCCCCATAAAGAACCTCCTACCACTAGAACTTCCTTCTATTATCAACGGGAGGAGCTGACTGGGACGCGTTCCGTGATTTCCTCCGCGATGTCCCCTGGGATGGAGTCTTTAAGCAAAAGTCCAAGAATGTGCTTCTGAGGTCTCTTCCTGGGTTAAAGCTGGAATCGACGCTTTCATCCCATCAAGGAAATATAGGGTTAAGATGCGCTCCTGCCCTTGGTTTTCGGCTGCTTGCTCAGCCGCCATCGCCCATAGGAACCTTCTACTTCCACCTATACCGTAGCGACATGTCTGACTGCAATAGACGTCTCTTTGCCAATGCCCGTAACGATTGTAAGCGTGTCCTAAATGATGCTAAGTCACTATTTGCGGCTCGAATGAAGGAACGTGTCTCGCAAATTTGGCTCAAAGATTATTGGCGTCTCTGCAAGAGTTATTGAATAAGTGCAAACCCTCTATACCTCCTCTATTCAACCAGTTCAAGTCTTGACCTCCTCTACCGACAAGGCTGAATGCTTTGCTCGAAATTTTTCATCCAACTCGACGCTCGACTCTTCTGGTGTACCCATACCCGACTTTCCTCTTAGAACTGAGGCCATATTGAGTGGGTTAAACATAACCTCAACCTTGGTACTGGGCGTTATCTCCAATTTAGATCTCAACAAGGCGAGTGGTGGAGATGGGATACCAGCCATTGTCTTAAAAGAAATGCGCGCCTGAACTGGCGCCCGCCCTTTCGAAACTATACAACTACTGCCTCAAGGAATCTTGTTTTCCTGACTGCTGGAAGTCCTCTTCGATTGTTCCTGTCTTCAAGAACTCCGGCGACCCTCTGATCCTTCCAACTACCGTCCTATCAGTCTCCTTCCCTCTTCGCAAAATCTTCGAAGCTCTAATCAATACCGGGTGGTTAACCACCTCACATCCAATAATCTGCTCTCAGACAAGCAATATGGTTTCCGCTTTGCCAGATCTACAGCCGATGTGCTCACAGCCATCACGGAAACAGTCTACCGAACTCTCCAAAATAACGGGGAGCCCGAGCCGTGGCACTAGATATCTCCAAAGCATTTGATAGGGTTTGGCACGCCGGCCTTCTCCGCAAGATCCAGGGTTATGGCATTACGGGTCAATTATATAACGAATACAATCATTCCTGTCAAACCGAATTGAAGGTCGTTCACAACGGATTCTCCTCCAGTTCCTACCCCCACGAACGCAGGAGTTCCTCAAGGCTCCATCCTAGGCCCCACTCTATTCCTTATCTATATAAATGACCTTCCTGACGCCGTAATTCTCAAGTCGGCATCTACGCGGATGACACCACAATTTATTCCTGCCTCAAAAACAAATCCAGTCTCGCTGACAAACTCACCTTGCCGTGCGTCTCGAAAAAGGACCTCAATCGATTGAACTGGGGCAAGATTTGGCTGGTCAACTTCAACGCTTCAAGACTAAACTGCTCTCTATTAATCACCACAGAGAGCCTTCCCTTCCCTCCATTATAATGTCTGACGCTCAACTTCCCGAGAGCAACTCTCTGCGGCTTCTCGGTCTCACGTTGACTGCTGACCTGAGATGGAATAAATTTCGAGTCAATTGCCCGTCCACTGCGAGGAAAGTTAGCTCCCTGAGCCGCGCTAGGAAGTTTTTTCTCCCCTGAGTCGATCCTCCAGATATACAAATCCACAATTCGCCCTTGCATGGAGTATTGCTGCCATATATGGTCTGGCGCCCCTTCTGTTTGCCTCGGGGTTCTTGATAGGCTCCAGAGGCGGATATGTAATATGGTTGGCCCTACCCTGGCGTCTCGTCTACAGTCACTTTCTCACAGATACCGCCATATCCCTCTGTCTGTTCTACAAATACTTTCATGGAAATTGCTCCGAGGAACTGCATTCACTGGTTCCCAAACTTCATGAGTTCAAGCACCCTACGAGGCTGGCATCCCGCTCACCCCTTCACTGTCGAAACTCATAAATGTAGCCGTCTCTACTACTCCTAATAGCTTCATGTCTCGCACCTCTATATGGAACTCTCTTCCCTTCTCCTGTTTCCCTGAGAGTTATAATCTCCAGCTATTCAAGTGTAATGCCAATCGACATCTCCAGTTGCCTTAATCTATCTACTACCCTCATCCTTTCTTCTATCACTCCTATCTGATCTTCCTATTTTCTGTAACCCCTTGCGTCCTAGTGGCTCCCCGCCTTGCTTTTGGGTGAAATGTTAAAAAAAAAAAAAAAAAAAAAAATTGCTGAAATGAGAGTATCAATTGAAGAAGAATGTGCTCAAATACCAGAAGAAATAAAACTGGATGTTTGTAGGTCTATTTCTTCAAGATACGAAAAGTGTATTTTAACAGAACAGCAACCAATTTGAGCACTTGATGTGAACTCATCATTATATGAACATTCTGCCATTGCCCCAAGTAACTTTTATCTTATTAAAGTTAATTTTCGATGTTTTTTTTTTACTCTCAAATTCTTTAAATGAGTATTCTTTCTCTTGTATTAATCTTATTTACAAGTCAAAATACATAAATTGAATAAGTTATAATGATTCAAAAAGTGTATACATTATTTTGGGACACCCTGTATATACATATGTTTTTTTTTCTTGGCTAGATAACATATGTCTTACTAGACTTTGAATTATGGCATTTTGTGTTCTCCACATATTTTGACTTACTTTTCAACTACCTGATGAATATTCATAAACGTTCTTAAATTTAAAAAGCCTTGATAAACCAATGATATCCTTGCTCTTGTATATAAATACATGCAACAAAATACATCCTACAGAGGCCGAAATGTGTCAGCTAAGAATAGTTATTCCTTTCGTCTTTTCATTCATATATATATATATATACACACTTTATTTTAGGATATTACATCAAAAACATGTAAATAATGCTACACAAATGCAATCATGTTTTGATGTGTATTACCACATCTCATCAGGTGTTAGTAAATAATTGGTGAGTAGACAATTTAATGAGATTTAAAAACATGCCTTTCCTTTTTTTATTGAAAGAAACTTTCTAGAATTGCAACCTGTTAGTATGTGAAATCAGGTGTGGCAACAAGTAGTTATTGAATTTGGTTTTCTCTGAGTGAATCTATAATATTTTCATAGTTCAGAAAATTAATTACCTGGCAACATTCCGGAGAATCAACATGAAAGCATCCTTGGCAGACACACAAAAGTTTTTCCCATGAACTGCAATCTACACGATAGAAAAAACAAAAAGTAAAGTGACAAGGTAACAAATAAGCCAAAAATGCATCTACTATTTAGTACCTCAACTTTACTAATTTAAGCATAGTACTAGATCGGTGACAAGGTCTCTTCATTTTACCCTGAATCAATAGAATAAGCAGACTATATTTCCGGACTCTTTAGCAATGGATTGGATATACATGTTCCACTTGAGATCTGGAATTTGAGACCCAATAGATGTTTGTTCAAAGTAAAAAAAATCTTTTTGAAAGGCCAACCGTTCATCATGACTGGAGAAACAACTCAGGGTCTAAGGGTTGATGATGAAATGATATCAGTTTGTTTTTTTGTGGTATTGTAAGTTACAGGCCAGGTTTTTGAGCTGTTAGATAAGAGATCAACTGCAAGATTCTGGTCATTTTAATTTTAACCAATAGAAGTCATCCACACTTGGATTATTCTCATTATATGCCAATTGTTATCTATTGTCTTCTTGATTATTGTTCGCTCGCCTTATGTTTCTTTTTTATTTTTTCACACTCAGCAACCCCTTGTGTTTTAGTGGCTTTACTGCCTTGCATGGGTGAAAAAAAAAATCCATAGAAGAATCTGCAATGTTAATGGTCCTGACTTGTCATCTCAGCTTCAGTCGCTTTCCCACTACCATAACAGATTCTAGAAATACTTTCATAGTAATTGTTCTGATGAACTTTCCTCCATGGTACCTAGACTACATTGGTGGCAAGTCTCATCATTTTACAGTTGAAATGGTTAGATGCAACTATAAGTTCTATACTAAAAGTTTATCGCACTTCTCACTCGTGGAACTCTCTTCTGGCCTCTAGCTTTCCACTCAACTTTGATCTTCAAATATTTTAATCCAATGTCAATCGTTATCTCCCGTCTTCTGAATTCCTGTTCTTTTATTGTTCTCTCTCCTCAGTAGACATTTTTCTCACATTCTCTCGCACTCAGTAACTCTTTGCGTCTTTATTGCTTTGTTTGGGGCAAAAGGATTAAAAAAAAACTGTTATATAACAACAACAATAATAAAGATTGTGTTTCACCAAAATTTGGTTGACCAGAGTCATCCTGAAAGATAACATATTTAAAGCAAGCATTTGTAATTATGACTGCTTGATATCAAAAGACAGTTATTAGTAATAAAAAATAGTCAATTTATTTAAATCTCTGCTAAGAGATTCTGTTGTTGTAACCACTTGACTGTATCCCTTTTTACTGAGTGAACGTTTTGGTGTATTAATGCTGTTTTGTTTCTGACTTGTATTATATGCGTGCATGTGTATGTATATATATATATATATATATATATAAAATATACATATATTGTATATAACTTATTATAAAACATTTATATTTTTTCTCTCATGTGTATTAAAACAGTGCTCAATGTTATATAAAAGAGCTATATATATATATATATATATATATAATATATTATATATATATATATATATATATATATATATATATATATTTATATTTAAAAACATTATATTATTACATTTTAATTAAACAGTATTAATTACATTTACTGTTTGATGAATTTTGTTAAAATATTTGTCATATTTAATACATTTCATCTAATATGTTGTCATTGTTTATGTTAGGTTATGTTTCAGAGCAGAAATGATATATTGAGAAAGATCATCGAATATGTGTGTTTATAAGCAGTAATTTGGACTTTGCTAACGGGAACATTCCATGCGGCTGAAACAGTTAACAGCACATCAGGCCAAATGATGGTTTCCATATGGGATACAGGTTTGATTCATGTTGGAGAAGACATATTTTCTACAAAATTTCTCGAACATTCAGGCTAGTAAATGTAATTAATACTGTTTAATTAAAATAAAGCATTTACTCAAATAAGTTGTATCCATAAAAAATAAAGTATAAGCAAAAAATATATTAAAATATTTGGCGGATTTAACTCATTTCATCTAATGGATATATATTATATAATATATATATATATAATATAATTGTAATATATATATAATATAATAATATATATATATAATATTATATATATATATATATATAATATATATATATATATATATAATATAATATATATATATATATAAATATATATATATAATATATATATAATATATATAATATATAAGAAAGTGTAAATGGATAAAATCCGACAGAATGTAGAAATTTTTGAAAAACAAACAAAATCCATAAATGTAGTTAAAATGAAAGAATTTGTCGACGTCAGACGTTTCGGTTTTAATAAACCATTTTCAAGACAAAATTCATTAAAATACAAATTCAGTTCAATATGACTTCACGATGGACATAAAAACACAAGTCTTATCCAAGAGTAAAACAGATAACTGAAAATTTTTAAAAGATCAGCTTTCCTTTAATCACGTGGTCACATTCATGGGCACGTCATTCATAACGTTTTCCTAAAGTTCGTGATTCGTTTTTTACAACATGGAAGATTGCAGGCTTATCCGGAAATACAGGAATTTTAAAATAATCACGAACTTTTAGGAATAATCTTCACTTCCTACCACCTCTTTCATTCATATCATACACCTCATTGATCATAACCATTTTAACAGTAACCCTCTGCAATGAGCAGCTCTTGAATCTTGTAGAATGAACTTTGGTATAAAAAAAAAATAAAACAATATTTTATTGTTCTAGAAGTTATGGACAGAAAAACAAAGAATAATTCAGAAAAAGCCCCAGCTCATTATCATATACTATTCAACCTTTGTTTGAAAATGCTTCTGAAGAATAATTATCATTAGGATACAACATTTCACAATGCTGTATAAACAAAAAGGTCAAATCAAAACTTTTCTTTAAAAGTAAAACATACCATTATATAAGCATTTTTGTTGAGGAACCGCAGAAATTTTTCTAGACACCAAAAACAACATTTCAAGCATCTGTAAAAAAAAAACAAAACAAAATTGTACAAAAAATTATTAAATGTTAAACAGTAAGGCTAAGAAATTTGGTCACTATTTTAAAATTTAAAATCTTTTATAGCAGGGGTCAGCGACCTACAGCATGTGTGCCACGCCAAGCAATTTGCAATGGCACAGAGCTGTAAATGACATCACAAAGTACGAACCAATAACTAATACAATGCAAAGAAGATATTTAGTCATTTCAAAACTGTTCACTTATTAAGTTCCCTTTAATAGTAGGAACTTAAAAAAAAAAAAAAAAAACTTTTAAAAACAGTTTATTTCTATTAATGTGGTTTACATATTTTTGTATATATTACTATATAAAATATATTGTAGAGCAGGTATATTAACCTAGACTTATATAAAAATATGTATGCTGTTGGCACACTGAATGATTTTAAAACCCTAATTTGGTACATAGTTAGCAAAAGGTTGCCAACCTGTCCTACAGTTAGAAATAAATAAATAAAAAAAAAAAAAAAAAAAAAAAAAAAATGTATAATTAAATAAGGCAAGTTAGTAGATTCCAATTTAAAAGGAAATTCAGAAAGACAAAGGGAAAAACTGAGTGTGGGGGTGGATTGAGGAAAGGTTAAAAAGAAGGATGGGAAATTCAATCAAGGCAACAGAAGATGTCAATTGACATTACATTTAAATTTTTGAAGATTATAATTATCAGGGAAGCAAGTAAGAGGAAGGAAGTTCCACTGTCGGGAAGTGTGAGAGAAGAAGCTGTTGTAGTAGAAGAGGGGTTATATTTAACCGTTTTGACATAAAAAGGTGGGACCAAGATGTCAACCTAGTAGCACGCTTAAATTCGTGCAGTTGGGGCACCAGTGAAAAGAGCAGATGTCATGAAAATATTTATAGAAAAGACAGCGGGAAGCCATATAACATCTGTGAGAAGTGACTGGAGTCAAGATCCCAAGTCAAGACCAATCACATTGCATATCCAAACTTGAATGAAGATGTGAAGGATGGACTCAGACGAGGAAAACCTTCTGGCATGATAACCAACTTTCTTTGCGGTAGATGCAGCTATTGATTGAATGTAGTTCCTCATCTTTGTTGTTGTTATCACAATGTTTTGGCCATTGTGCTCTCTGGCCATCATAAGGTGTATATCAATTTAGGTAACTTACAGGTAATTCCAAACTGAACCTTTTATTTAATCTACAGGGTTTAGACTGTTCATGTTCCACTGCTCATGTCTAGAGATACTGTCTAGTTCTTTTATTTTAATTAACACTGTTCCGTTACTGCTCAACAGTTTCCACTAAAACATAAATAAAAAATACAGAACCAGATGATATTTTTAGACACGAGCAGTGAAACAAAAGCAGTCTACACCCATAGATTAAATAAAGTGTTAAGTTCAGAATTCCTAGTAGGTTACCCAGATCAATATACACCTGAGGAAGGCCAGAGGGCACAACAGCCGAAATGTTGTGATAAAAACAACAAAGATGAGGACAATAGTCCGAATATAAATAGTGTAAATAATGATAACTCCTCATCCCAGGGCTACAATACAGTTTTGAATTCAGAGTTTTACTTCTCCTAGACCGGTTGCCACCCAAGGCTATAATACCCAGTCTGCCATAATTTTATTCATAGCTGGGGTAGGGAGAGATGAATTCATACTTTTCCCAAGGGTATTAGCATGAAAGTGAATGTAATGAACCCAACTGGAATTTGAACTTTGTTCTCCAGTTCCTCAATCTGAGCTGCGATCAATTATTCTATCAGGCATCCATGTATTAAGTCAGTGATTCTCAAAAGTACAAAAGTATGGCATGAAATATTTTCCTAGCATATATATATATATATATATATATATATATATATATATATATATATATATATATATACAAAAGAATAATCACACATAAATTAATCAAAAGTATTAATGCGATTATTGGTGACATCCATCGCTAGAAAACATAATATATGCATTAAAATGGATGTCGCCAATAATCGCATTAATACTTCTGATTAATTCTATGTGTGATTATTCTTTGTATGTAAATCATATGCTGCCTAATGTTTTATGTTTATTATATATATATATATATATATATATATATATATATATATGTGTGTGTGTGTGTGTGTATAGTAATGGTAAAGCATTAGTATTTATGTAAACGAATAAGTATTAAACTTTTTTCAAATAATTTTTATCACTATTTTTCAATCATTTTATTTTAAATACTTTGTTTTAATATTCATTTTTTTTTAAAATATTTTTATTTTTTAAGGGCTCAAAATAAAACATTCAACACTACCCATTGATACATTTTGGATTTTGATACAAAAAAGAATATCTCACATTAGCTAAAATGGCTTTATCAGTTTTGTTACTATTTTCTACTTATTTATGTGAATTAGGCTTCTCAATCCTAAATAGCATAAAAAAATAAGAAGCAAGATAGACAATGCTCAACTGAAATGAGGGTCTGCTTATCACACATTCAACCAAACATTGAAGAAATCGTGAATAAACACCAAGCACAGGTTTCACACTAAATAAGCTGCACAAATAGTTGAATAGAAACATTGAAATAAACTAAGTGTGCATATTTGTGTGTATATTATTTTTTCAGATCTGTGGTTTTATTTCATAACTTTTAAAAATTTTACAAAGCGGTGCCGTGATATTTTCATTTGCTGCTAGGTGTTGCTTAAAAAGGTTGAGAAACACCGTATTAAAGTGTTACTATACCATGGATACGATAATTGCTTAGTACCCCCCACTATGGTATTCAGAAAATCAAAAATACCGCTCAGTATTTCTTTTCAGATCTGATTCAGTCAATCATAAAGAAAAGGACTAAATTCTAAAATAGTAATCAATAATTCCCTCTACACAAAATGCAAAACACAATTTCCACTGTAAAATTTCTACTTCAGTCAGTTACTTACTTCATCATAAACTTTGCCACCGGGTTGTCGACATCTTTCAATTTGTTGTCAACGTACTCCAAAAACAGTCGAATCATTTGAACAATGGCAATAATCAAAGAACCAAAAGCCAAGGAACCAAGATGGTACCTAGAAAAGAAACAAAAATCTTCATCAATTCCAAATAAGATTAACAATTACAAAGCAAAATTAATCCATTCTGTACCAAATGTTTTTTTTGCTAATTAACTTGTTAAGCACCAAACAAGATTCCCCTTTTTGTGAATGTGCACCTTGTTTTCATTTTGTCCTCTGCACATTTCAGGAATCAGCATATATATACTTGTATATTGTACAACTTTTGAAAACCTAATTTTGAAGATAATTTTCAGGGGGTTGCATCATACACAAAATATAAAATTAACATATGTATTGCTATGCCATTGACTAAACTATATATCCATCTAATATATCTATATATTACCATTTACAAATTAGCTTCAAAATTAGGTCTTCAAAGGTTACACGATATGCAAGAGCATACAGTATATAAAATGGCAACACTTATCAGAACATGGAAACACCTTTGGGAAGGTTTTAAACAAATTTGTTGATGGAAAAAGATTAACTCATTCAGATGTTAAAAAAAAAGAATCAGCAATATTATTGGCCCTGATCTGGTGTCTCAGCTTCTGTCACTTTCCCACTGCTGTAAGATTACCTCCCTGTGTCTTTTCTATAAATACTTTCAAGGTAATTGTTCAGATGAGCTCTTTGCTATGGTACCTAGACTTTTTGAATTTAAGCACAGTACTAGACTGGCATGAAGATCTTGTCAATTTACAGTTGAGTTGGCTGAGATGTAACAGTAAATTCTATGCTAACAGTTTCTTTTCTCACACTTCTCACTTATGGAACTGTTACATTAATTTACTTTCTCTCCCACTGACAACTTATTTGGGAGAAAATGAAGACCAGCTGGGAAGGGGGATGATTTATTAGAAGAAAGGTACTGTCACTATATTCTTATATGCTAGTCCTTTGCAAATTTTCAGAATTTCAGACATTAAAATCATTGTTGATCTTTTTTTTGTATTCATTGCTTATGTCAAATGGACAGGAGAATTCTGTCAGGGAGCAAATTACTTATTATTTTTAACCCCGACTTGAATCCCAAATGTTTTTTATTAGTCATTACACATTTCTTTCAACTTAATAAAAATGAAGGATACTCACCTAAAGCACCTGTAAAATGATCTCAATAAAGGTAAAGTTGGTATGTCTTTTGGTTTATTGAATGACCAATAGTAAGAAGCAAATGTCCCAGCAAGTGTCAGTTGCCCTAAGGCTGTGACAAAGTTGACCATCCAGAAGAAGACAAACACAGCAAAGATTTGCAAGTAAAGGGTATACCTAAATATTGTAGAGAAAACAAAATCAATAAGTTGAAAAGCACTAAAAAGCCATAATAACTTTCTTTAAAATTTTAGATGAAATATTATCAATTATTCATTTTTCACTAGTATATTTTTCATCTTCATTTCAGTGACTTTATTTCTACTAGTAGTATTAATAGTAATATTATCTAGAATTTTATTATTATTATTAGATGAATTCTTGTTCATTTTTCTTATTTCATTTTTCACTTCAGATTTCCACAGTAGTATTAGTAGTAATATTATCTGAATTTTAAAAATGACCTCCAAACATTTTTCACTAGTATTTCTTTTCATCTTCATTTCAATTGCTTTATTTCCACTAGTAGTATTAGTAGTAATATTATCTTGAATTTTATTATTATTATTAAATGATTGTTTCTTATGCATTTTTTCACTAGTATTTCTTTCATCTTCATTTCAATTGTCTTAGTATTAGTAATATTACCATTATGTAGCCTTATTAACATTATCTTGAATTTTATTATTATTAGATGAAGCCTTGTCAATTCTTATTCATTTTCACTAGGGGTGCATAAAATATAAACATCAGATAACACTAGGGCAATATTTCATCTAACTAATGTCTTACCATTATGTGGGGGAATATATATAGATTGGGTGAATTTTCATTTCTTCATTCACTATTTTAACAATGAAGATTGCTCAATAATGATCTTGGAATGACTGCGGACTGGAAATAAGGAAGAAGCTTCCAGTAATAGTTGAACTCTCATCCTTCATCCTCGGGAGCTTACCTCTCCATGATAACTGCCATATTGATTAGACAAGAATTTCTAACCAGTTGCAGAAAGGCAAATCTCAACTTCTAACTAAATTCCTCCCAATAATATTTCTGGTACTATAAACTGAGCAGGTTTTATATTAGAATTTCTTTTTAATCTACAAATAGCACAAAGATTATTAGAATAACACATTACATGTTTTAAGCATTTTATCAACATGTTGCCTTGTTCTCAAAAGTACATAATGATGCATTTTATACTACTAAATAAAAAAAAAAAAATATCTCTGGTATATGTGAGAGACCATCTTCAATCTCCTCACCCGTTTTAGTACACATCTATTTGAGCCCCTACTAACAATCATGTGTTTGAGTAATTGAGATTAATCCATTGTAATTAGGGAATGATACATACTATTTCATTATTAGTTTTATTTCCAATTGTGGCTTTGTATCCCAAAATTATTTCATTACTAGTTTCATTCCTTATTATTGTTTTTTTTTATCTTAAGATTATTTCATTACTATTTTATAGTTTAAACACAAAAATACTGTCATTAGAATCCTTAGCATTGTATTTCTATAGTAAATGAAAAGACTAGAATTATAACAAAATTAAAGAATAGTCTCTTCCAACTTAATATATCAGCTACTTCTAATGATGACTACATTAGAATATTGGATAAATGTTCAGTTTATTAAAAGGAAATGTTACTTACGTTTCCATGTTTTGTACAACATAGCAAGATTTTACTGAACCAGTTTCATTCTGAAACAGCAGAACAAAGAATAAAAATCAGCATTATTATTCTTTCTTTTTAAATTAATATACTCTATATTCGAAAAACATTAGCTTTAAAACGAATTATACAACAGTTACCTCCCCTTACTGTGTTTTCATTTTCTGTGGTTTCCAGTACTTATGATCAATATCAGAAAATGTAAATTTGGCATCAGCAAACAGAGTTCTAGGTCTTCAATTTTGCACTAATAATCTTAGGAAAGGCATGAATCCATCTTTTCTTCCCTAGCTATGATAAGATGACTGCGGAATTTTATTTGTACGTATATTTTTTTTTTTACAATAATGTTCAAGTCTGAAGAGCTACTTAAAGTAGAGGGTTACAGACTAAGAGGAACAATTTATGGGGATACGTAAAGAAGATAATGGTTATCCATAGACTTAAACAGATTGTAAAGAATGAATGGGTCATAAATCTGATTAGTTAGGCATAAGATAGCTAGTGATGACCAACCTTGAACAGTCCCCTTTACTTTTCTTTGGCTTTGTGCCATAATTGCTGTATCAGTAATAAATCTTAGACTTAAACAGATTAAAATTGTAGTTAGTGATTGAGGAAGCATCCTCTTGGGAGTTGGTTCCATAAGGCAACAGCTGGCAAGAAGAAGCTGCTTGAGTAAAACTTACCTCTCACCAATGGAATACAAAGGAAATGAGGATGGTTCGTCAAAATGTGCGTGTCATAGCAGGTCTAAGCCGTAATGGTTAAAACTGATAGACCAAGGAACGTAGTTTGTCTGAACACTTCTCTTGGAAATAGCAATAGAGTAGTGAGGAGTTTGCAACACTTCATCCATGGGAATGGGTTTGTAGGGTGAAATTCATCACCTTCAAGAATATGAAGATACCTTTGAACTCTATTGAGACTGGACAGTGAAGATTGTGCAGCTCCAGCTGATATATGGCAACAGTATTCCATTTTCAGCCTGATCCAGCTCTTGTAAAAGTAGAGAATAGCAGATACTTACTGGAGTGGTACAAGAAATCGATCATTTTATAATATCTTTTACGGTGGATTGTATGTACGAGATCTACTTGAGGTTTGGGTTGAGATTTTGTCCCCACAGGCACTCAAGACCCAGGGCCTCCCTGAGGGAAGACCCGTTCATCACGATAGGGGAAAATTCAGGGTCTGTTCGGTAATGATGGAATGTCACTTGTTTGGTTTTCTAGGTATTGACTGTGACCAGCCGATTTTTCGCTCCTCACTGAGCTGATGGACTGAGGTCAAAGGTACTTAATAATAGTCAAAAAAAAAAAAAATATTGAGGGTTACAAGAGTTATAATATACTGATTACCCAAAACACAAGTATGAAATACAGGTGAGATTTGATTTAAAACCCAAATTCAAAGAAAGTTTTGGCAGAATGGCCCTGACAAGCTGTGGGCAACAAGCCATGCGGTTAGTATCTAAAACCTAGACAAAGACAAAAAGACCATTGCATAGGAACTCTGCATAGGTGACAAGTTTGAAATGATTATTCTTTTGATTAACGATCTTGGAATTAAGCCACACCAAACAGTTGAGAGCCATTGAGTAGCCTAGGTAGCATGCACAGATGAGAGACCGAGGGAGGTAGAGGAGCTACCCATGCCCATTGGGAAGTGTTAGTGGGAGATGCTAATAAGAGAAGGAAGAAGTTGTGGAGGGAGGGGATTGATGCTGTGACCACTACCCATGGAAAAGATGGATCTCCCAAATTGGGAAGTAATTAATTTTCAGAACCTAGACAGCAGAAAGGATCTTTGTGAAAGGTAAAGAAAATACTGAATACCCCAACCGCGTCATACCCCCACACCAGTTTTAGGTGAATGTCAATAAATACGAAGCGGTCGAAGTGACAAACACAGATTGCTCCAGATACCGGACGAGAAACACCCCATGTGACTGCCTGCCTGAAGAGAACCTCTGATATCAGCATTGTGCCAAACTTTGCCAAGCCAGCAAAGTGTCACATCTAACTTAAGAAGTGGGTTGGATCAATAAACATCCATATGTGAACTGCTAGATTTTGACAATGTACTAACCAACTATTGTACACAGGAACATATATAAACATTTTTTTTATTCACGTGTTTTCTTTTTCTTGTGTCTTCATTGCACTTGAATCAGTCCAATATAAAGATACGCAATGATTCGATCCTTGTTGATCTTATGATCAAAAACCAATCATAATGTGGGATAAGGCAAGGCCTGGATCAAAATTGTCATTTCATCAATCAGCCGTGGGTGTTGGACCTTTGGACGACTAGGAAGGACTTGAAGGTGACATGATGATGTCACCATAGTAGCATAAAGGCTAGTGTTTTGAATATATACGTTAACATATATTTTCTTTTAAACATCTTTCATTAAATATGGCAGACAAGGGAGATTTAATTTATTTTTGTATTTAGTTTTTCTGGCATTCTTACATTTTTCTGTTTTGTAGGTGTAAGGGAACACAGAAATTTTCTGTAATTTTACAAGCATTTTCAGCAACTTCTTTAGCCATTTTTAATGGGGTTTTGTTTTTGATGTTGTTTTTACTCACGTTTTGATTGCTTAGGTTGTATTTTAATTTTGTGTTGTGTTAAAGAGGAGCATTTATTCCAAGTCTTTGAATGATAATCTTTCTATTTTTAAACTTTTAACACTCCATTTCCACTGTTAAATAAAATGAGGTTTATAGGAATCTACACACACATTATATATATATATATATATATATATATATATAATGATTACTTGGTAACTCGTAAGGATAATTCTAAAGAGGATATAATCCAGAGAACTCAATGTAGAAAAACAGAGTAAATATTAATTATTATTAAGAAAAAGACAACCTTATCCATTTAATTGTATGGGAATGGATGGTCTGATTGATGAATGAGATTGAAATCTTGATTCTAAGGAAATAAATTATGACCACCATGTATTCTTAAAGTTGTCTTTTTCTTAATAATAATTATATATATATATATATATATATATATATATTATAGCAAGGAATAAGCGGAATGTAAAGAACATAATTATGAAAACTAAAAACTAAAACAAACAACCGGTTTCGTCCCAGTACTCTTCAAGTTTGATACACTGGGAATATTTAATCATAAACTTAAAAACAAAAAAAACATTCAATGAGGGGGAAAGGGGAAAAAAAAAAAAAATTTTATATATGGTAGAAAGAACTAGAGCCCAATCACATTCAAGCCCAACAAGCAATCTCTCTGCTTACAGAGAAACGGCCTGCGGGACTTAATGTAAATGGACTCAAGAACCTTCAAATGATATGCAGAGTGTGACTTCGCCAGAATGGAAAAACAGTCAACACTCAAACCAGCAACACATTCCCTGCTAGTTATAGCGTGTTCCGCTATAGATGACCCGGATGTATTCACTAGTTGGCTTTTGTTAGCGGCGGATTTAAAATTCTGGGGGTAAATGTTGTTTAATTCTAAAATCCAAACGCTGAGACGTTCTGCCTATGTAGTGACATCCGCAACCACATTTAAATTTATGTATAACTGAATTAATATGAAAGGGAGGCAGAAAAATCCTTGCACCTGGAAGAAAGAATTGGTTGAGTAAAAAAATATTACTCTCATTAGCAGCATAAAACACTTACTAAAAATAAATATAAGCGACATTTGAGGCAATATATAGTTTAAGAAATATATATATATATATATATATATATATATATATATCTTAAACTATATATTGCCTCAAATGTCGCTTATTTATTTTTCTATTGTCAATTTTAAAAGCAATAAAGAAAAAATGAATTAATTTTATAAAATGTTCAATACATGCTTGTATGACAGTTGTTATAATCAAAAACAGTTTTGTTTTTTAATGAAGTTTATTTAAACACTCTTAATGTCATCTAATGACAACAGACTTTAAAAAAAATATATTCAAAGCAATTGATGAAGCTTAACACTTTCACTGTTATAGGCTGCAGTAATGCCAATTTTGTAAAGATGTATAAGCATGTCAACAGCAGCAGAAGTTTGAAAACTGAAAATTAAACTGGATGATAAAAACAAATAAATAAATAATAGACTTTAAAAAGTCATGAGAATATTTTACTTACGGCACAAGCAATTTTTTCAACCAAAGACGTAACTTCATCAGTTGAACTCTCATTTAGCTTCAGGTCATTCGAACGGCTGATAGCAAACAAACATCTGGTAGAAACAAGTCAAGAAAACTGATTGTTCTTTCAAGGCATAAAATCTGACATGTCCGCTTGTTCAATGCATTTCTCCCCCATTTTTGATCCCAAACATCAAAACCCTGTCATGTTCACTTAATCTTCTTTACTCAATCTTCTATTTCAGATAATTTTTCTTCCTTTTCTGAATTATTTACTACATTGTTTTAGATATGTGGGTAGTTTAATGATCAGCAAATCAGAAAGAGAAATGGGTGAGTCAACTTTGCTATTTTCACTGCCTCAAGGTCAACTTTGCTATTTTCACTGTCTCAAGGTCAACTTTGCTATTTTCACTTTCACACAAATACCATTGGTAAGTAAAGGATCCATCTCTTCTACCCATGCCCCACCAATTATAGGTTTCATTCATTGTCTGTAAGTCAAGTTTGTTACATTCATTTTCACATCACACAAATACCCCTGGAAAGGTACGAATCCATCTCTTCTACCTCCCCCCAGCTACAGGGTAAATAGTTGGATTGACTGGGCTCGCTTGCCTAGAGTTGGCAACCAGTCTGTAAGTAAAGTTCGTTATGATCACTTTTGCAAAATACCTATGGGAAGGTATGAAGACATCTCTTCTACTCTCCCCCAACTACAGGTTAAATAGTTGGATCGACTAGTCTCACTTGCCTAGAGTTGGAAACCGGTCTGTAAGGAGCACAACTTTGAATTCAAAACATACTTGAAAAGGGATGAGCTCCAGTGGCTACAGCTGCAGTACATGTGGTGCCCCTAAGACCCCATTGGATTAGGAGACTCCCAATTTGATGACCTTGATTTTGTTTGACCAATATATATTTAAACCCTGTTGATTTTCTCTCTAGACTTGACATTCAATAGTTCTGGACCAAGTGCTGGTTGCAAGGATGCTCTTAAAGGTTGTGGCTAAGCAAGAATATTTACACCAAAATTTTGAAATAGGAAGCATCACTAAGATGTTGGAATGAGAAAATATTTGTGAATTATTAAGCATTGATAGATGTGTAGAAATATATTTCAGTCTGTTTGTAGACAATGCATGTCCAAGTCTGCTGGTACCTGACACAATTGCACCATCATTTGTGATAGCTCTGTTTTCAATGACTGATGGGCTTGCGAACATGCAAATACCCTGAATCCACTTCTTCTACCTCTCCCCCAGCTATGGGTTAAGTAGTAGGATTTATCAGATCATTATCTCCCACCAAAATTCTTAAAACACTTATGTGTAATCAATAAATCATTATTACCTTAAATAATCAGCGGAGTCATGGTAGAGTAATGGATAGGAATCAGACAGCCAAGTTCAAAGTCCAGTTGAATTCATTACATTCACTTACATGCTAATACCCTTGGGAAAAACATGACTCCAACTCCTCTACCCCACCCCAAGCTATGTGTAAATAGTAGGACAGACTAGATTCTATAGGCTTGGGTGGTAACTGGTCTAGGAGAAAGAAAACTCTGAATTCAAAACTGTCTATAGCCCTAACAATTACATACTATGCAGCTAAAAGGAAAAGATCATTCACATTGACTCGATGATCCTGACTATGGTTGATTCCTAAACAAAATAAAATAATCTGCAAAAGACTGATAAACTATAAAAAAAACAAATCGATCAATTGATAACGGACATGCATATGAAATTCTGATTTTACCTTGGATTGGGCACTAACTCATTTATAAAACAGGTCGCTTCTTGTTGGTTTCAATCCTATTAGGAATGATAGCAAAATACTTGCCCCTCCCCATTTTATAGGTAGAAACACACAAATGCATGCTGGGATTTTTTCCTAGCCAATAAAATAGGCCGGTTCTCAGTTTCATCTGGCTCAGTCACAGTCTGTCTTGTCTTGAAGTTAGAATGCTACGATCAATCATCAGAACTTACTTTTCTGTGTCAATCTCAATTCTTAGCTTGTGAACTTTTTGCCATATTGCTGTTGCTTTGCCTTGTTAATGTTAATTTGCCTTGCATATATTGTTTTGCTTGCTTTATATCATTTTTTTTGCCCTGTTCTTTTCTTTTCTTTTTCTTGTTATTGCTTATTATGAACTTTGTCAATTCTCTTTGTTGGATAGTTCTGTTACTTATTTTTCATTTGACCATGGCTACTCAATTCCATTGATGGCTGGATATTCTAAGAACACCTTTTCAGAACAAAGAGAACAACTATTTTATAGAACATCAAAAGGATACACTGCCACTGCTAACCAGTAAACAATAACTAGAATGTGAAGAACAAAGGGAATGATTGGCCATAGAAGAGTTGAAAAAATATTACCAATGGCTCTGCAAAGAAATTTGGAAAAACAAAAATTAATACAAAGCATACAAAATGGTGTGCATATCAAAATTAAGGCATGTATGTGTCTATACTCTTAAGTGTCTAATAAAAGCAAACAGTTCTTAATAACTAAGCAGAGAGATGGAATTTTTTCTCCAGGGTCACTACAGTGGGGGTGGGGAGAGTCGGAAAATCATTTAAAGGGTGAAATTACAATTTAAATAAAAGAAACATTTTCTTATGAAAATGTTATCAAACAAGGAGACATGATAATTCTGGAAAGAATAAAAAAAAAGAAGAATGGAAAAGTATTTTTTGGTTTGGTTTATTTAACGGCATATCAACTTCTTATGGGTCATTTATCTTATTTGACGGTGTAGAAGACGCACCCCAATTTCAGCTGGGCAAATCAAGAAAAATTAGTAATTAGTAAAATTATTAGTAAATGGTACAGCCTAGGCTATGTTTATGAGGTATTATTTTGGTTAAACAAGCCATGATTACAATTAAACAAAAAAATAGTAGGAAAAAAAGAACAAAGGCTTATTTACACACAGTATTAATAGCAGTAATCAATTTAACAGTTCTAAGTAGTCCAAATTTTTTAGAGAAATTTTCATTACTCATATTTTTCTAATTTTACTTTACATCTTTTTTTATTATTGCTAATACTCAGCTGATTTTTACATTCTACAATTGTTAAGTAAGTAGCACAGGTCAGTAAGACATTGTCCTTGTCAGATAAAACCCCCAAAATACAGGATGCAAGTTCAAATCTTATTAAAGTCTGCTATCTGATTCATGCATTATAACTTAATGGTTGTAGAATCACTCAAGCCTTGCAACAAAATAAGATTTAAGAAAATTAGTCAATTAATTCATATAAGAAAGAATTGTAAGCCAAAAAACATGTGGCACAGAGCAATGGTAACAGAAGTGAATAATATACAAGGTTCAGTGGTAGGATATGTTTGTGGCTTTGCATCATAGTTGGCATGAAGAGAATAATATAAAGTCATCTAAGAAATTCAGACAACTGAAGATGATTACATCTACAGTAGTCAAATTATTTTAACCTACATAAATCTAAATAACTACATTTGATAATTATTACGCTCTAAAAATGACGGTCAAAACATTGCTATTGATGATGAAACTAGAAAAAGCAATGTTCAAGTCAACATTGCTATTGATGATTAAACTGACCTGCTTCCTTCTTTGATCAAGGCAATAGCAATACGAATCCGAGAAAATAATGCAATAAGAACCAGGAGAAAGATCACAAACAAAATGCTGCAAATAATACCTGTGCAGATTAAAAAAAAAAAAAAAAAAAAAAAAAAGAGAGAAAATTCAATTATATAAAATCAACAATGCAATTCAACAATATAAATATAATCTCTTTCCTATAATAATTATGACATTATATATAACTACGTCTTAGACACATTTCTTGAAAACAAGATGAATAACAGATGATTCTCAACCTCAGCCTTCAGGGTTATATTTGTTGGTTCCAATTCAAAGGGAATGACTGTTGAAAACATATCCCCCTCTCCAAATTTATAGATAAATCCTACAGATGCATGCTGGGATTTTTTACTAACCAATAAAAATGGACCTCATCTGGCATATTTTTGCTCTTTCTGGTCTTGAAGTCAGAATGCTACAATCACTTGACTGTTGGTTCCAGTCTGTAGGAATGTATATCTATTGTTACATAAATAACAATTTTGGCATGAGGACATAGAGGAAGTGGGGAAAGGCTGGTCTACACTAACTGTCCTAAATTTAGTTAATCAGATTCACAACCCATTCATTCAATTTACTCATTCACCACAAAAATTCATCCATCACTAATCTATAAGAATGATTGCAAAAACCTTCCCCAATTTATAGACAAACAGATGCATGCTGGGATTTCTTCCTTGCCATTAAGATAGGTCACTTCTGTTCTTTCTTGTCTTGAAGCCAGAATGCTACAGTCACTTGTCTGTATCCTCTTTTGTCTGTTAACACCCTTCTTAATTTGTGAACTTTTTTGCCTTATTGCTATTACTTTGCTTTGTTCTCTTTTCTTTCTCTGTTATTGTAAACTTTATCAATTCCGTTTGTTGGGAATTTCTGCCAATTACATTTAATCATGGCCAATTACTGTGTCCCTTTGTCATGTAAATACCATTCTTAATTGGTGAACTTATTTTGCCCTGCCTAGTTTTGATTTGCATGCATATATCGTTTGCTTTACTATTATTTTACCCTGTCCTCTTTCTTTCTTTAAAGGCTGGCTGAACGTCAACTCAAAATAATGAGTATTCATGCTGACCAATCAACTGCAAAACATGAATAAACGTAGAAAAGTGTAGAGAAATTCATGATGTCTGTTGTTGAACAATCCAATCCATTAGCTCTTTCTCTTTCACATGACTAGAATCAAGACCAGGGATGAAATTTAAACAGAACCACACGTAATATTAGGTGGCCACAAGGAAGAAGAACTTGCAGGATGCTTTTGAGGCAAGGATGATAATTGCTTTTGAGGCACTAAGATAATTGTGGAGATTATGAGACAAAGTGGAAAAGCTTATAAATGACGGAGACCTCATTGTCTATTCATAAAAAAAATCCAGGTCAGAATGAAAGACAAGACTGTTTAAGGAAAGTGTTTGTTTTAATTTATATATATATATATATATATATATATATATATATATATATATATATAAAATTTTTTATAATATAATTATTATTATAACAATTGTTATTATATTATTATAATATTTTTGCTCTACTGTTTGTATCAAGCTCTGTTTTTTTTTAAAATAACTGCTAAGAACGCTGGATTATAAATCTTACTGTTCTTTCTTATTTTAATGTATATGTATGTGTATATAGGGATGGCCAAAAGTTGCTTTACCCATTTCCAATAATAATAAGCACAAATTTCTAAATGATTCACAAACAGATAGATGGTAAAAAAAGAACTGGGTGCCTGAAGCATGTGAATACTAACAAAAATAGTTATTTCTATTTAGTAATTCAAAATAACTAAAACGGAGATATCCAGAAACGGTATGGCACGTGGAACTAGAACAATCGACTGCAGTGGACAAAATAAAGGGTTTAGTTTGAAATTCCAACATATCACCTGAAGAAGGTCAGAGTGTACAATACCCGAAATGTCATGAATATGACAAAGATGAGAACAGCAGTCTGAACAATATAAATAGTATAAATAAAAAAAAAAATATGTCAAAAAGATGGTTTTTTTTTCTGACATTGCTATTACTATATACTTCGTTGGCAGTTTTTATTGTTTTAGAAAATCTATTTTTTATAATTTTGGTAAAACCCAAACATGTGAGACTGGATTTATTTATACATTTTCTACAGCTCAGAATTGTGGAGCCCATATTGGTCCCATATCACACAGGTGGATATCTTCCACAAAAGTTGTCTCCAGTTGATCTGTGACTATACTCTTGACACAATAGGGTGTCCAATGCTGATCTATTCCCAAAATGCAACATTGGTGGAATTGAGACTTTCCTGATGCTGTCACAACTTCATGCATGTTGCAAGGATGAATGACAACAGAATACTCAAGGTCCTCATGTATAGCCAGCTTGACAATGGATAAAGGACTCTTGGATGGTTATGGCTCAGGTATAAAGACATGCATGTGCCTCATACTAACTCCAAACAAGTTGCCCTTGATAGAAATAACTGGGGATATTTGTGCCAGAGTGGTATCAGAAATTTTGAAATCAGTCATACCAGCTAAAGGACAAAAGACAATGATGAAAAGCATCAACAAATATTCCTGTGGCTATATCCCAAGATCCTCATCGTTGCACAATATGTGGACTTGTATGCAGGTCACTTGTAGAACTGAAGTGTCACATACGACACAAACAAAAACTGAGTGAGGTTGTCAGATCTTCATACATTGAAATTGATGGGAGGCTGTCATTATATATATATATATATATATATATATATATATATATATATATATATATATATAGGTGATAGAATTTTGCAGCATTATATTTCAGGTATGTTCTAGTCTCCACAACTCACAAAGGTGCTCAGTGCTATGCTAGGTCTACTTAGGTGGTTATTAGAATTAAGCATATAGGTCAGATATTACACTTAACTTATCCTTCATTGTTTATCTTGATTTAGCTTAACCCCCACAAGGCCTGGTGATATCCCTCCCAACTTTTTCTATATAAAACTGTTTGCAAAGCAATACTCACACAAGGTTAAAAACAGTTTAGCTTCAGAGAATTTGAATACCAATGGATTAAATCCAACAGATACTTCCTTAGTGCTGTCTTTGACTTGAAGATATTTCCAAACACTTATTCCACAACCTGTTTAAAGAAAAAGAGAAAAAAATTGAAAGCATTTCAGTCAAATATAACCACTCAACAAGTTTTTGTTAAACAATGAAATCTTGTCTTATACTGAAAATTTTTTATAATTGACACACATTAATCGATTTGTTGGATCTTTTCTGTTTAATTCACCTCAAATAATATAAAGTTACTTATTGCAAATATTAATTCCCTCCAAGAAATTATAAATTTTAAATCAAAGTTGGTTTGTTTTTTTTATTAAATTTTTGCTACTCTTTATAAATTATAAATTTATAATCAAAATTAGTTTAGCTTGCATTGCAACAACTCCAAACTTCAGAAGAAAAAAAACAGGGAGTTACTCACATTTTGTAAGTGCAGATGATATTTAAGGAATTTTTTACAATTTAAAAAAAAAAAAAATCTGTCTTAGGCTTGCTTATCAGGGTGAGCGTGTACATAGATGCGACATTTAGACATAACCCACCCAAGTTGCCCACATTTGAGGCGATTGTAAACGTCAACCCAAATGGAGTGCAATGGAAGGGCCTTGCTCTGGGAGAAGTTGGTGAGAATTTTAGTAAGTATAAATTCTTTTTATTTTGTGGTGAATTAAAAGAAAAGATTTGATTTGTTTTTATGGCTTATCAGTCTTTTTCCAGTTATTTAAAGCGAGAAAATATTACAATGGTATAAATGTTGATAAAATTTAATTTTATTAACATCTGAAAGTTTTTTCAATAGTATTTCTTTGGATATGGTCACTCAGTATTGATAGCACTTAAAAAAAAAATGAACGATTTCCGTTTCGTAAAAAATTTTGATGTGGTTTCATGGTGTCAAGATGAAACCAAAAAAAGTTGGTTTTTCAGTTAAACCGCACATCTCATATATATATATATATATATATATATTGGGCTATGATAAATTTTTAGCCACTCTTGATTATAGCAATTTTGGCTTGTGTAATAACATATTTTTTTTTTCAGACAATACCGTATTAGTATCAAGCTACTCTTATCTATGAACAATAGTTGACTTATATTTTGCAATGAAAGTTTGCAGAAGTAAGGAAATTTCAATGAGGACAAATAATAGAATGGTATCAGTGTGGCAAGTCAAATAGAGAAATTGCTAGGTTTTTGCAGGTTAATCATCAAATGGTTAATAATATTGTCAAGAAATTTAATGAAGAAGGCCATTGTCATGCGGAACATTCAGGAAGACCAAGTATCATGTCTGAGCAAAAGAAAAGGGCACTGAAGAGGGAAGGCATCAGATACTGTCGTCAGAGCATCAAAGATGGTGCCAACAACATGGAAATGTTGCCGTATGCAGTGAAAAAGACTCTGAAAGAGCTAGGCTATCAAAGAAGAGTTACAAGAAAGAAGCCCTTGTTTTCAATGGTTAACAGGGACAGGCGTATGGACTTGGCAAGAGAATTTGAGAGCAAAGATTAATTTTGCCAGTCTGTAATTTGCTCAGATGAAAGTAAATTCTGCCAATATTTGAATTTGAGACAGGTTTATGTTTGGAGAAATCACAATGAGACTTGAAACACTGAGTGTCTGCAGGTGACTGTGAAACATGGAGGGATTGGAGTATTGGTGTGGGGTGATGTCTGGTTTGGAGGGAAATCTGAGCTGATTCTTGTTGATGAGCGGTTGAATGATCCAAAATACAGTCAAATATTAGAGAAAGGAATACTCCCACTATTTGAAACCAATCAGATTGACAAGAATGTCTACCTTTTTCAAGAAGATAGAGTGCCATGTCATCCGAGCAAAGTAGCAAAGGCCTGGAAGGAATTGCAAGGAATCAAGTCCCTGCCATGGGTAGCCCAGAATCCTGACATGAATCCAACAGAGCATGTTTGAGAGCACTTTGACTGAAAACTTCAAGAGTGTGCAACCAAAACCACATCAGTGGCAACCCTTAAAGAAACATTGGTAAAGGAGTGACAAAATATGGCTCAGATGATTGTTCATAACTTGATCAAATCCATGAAAAATTGAATACAAGCACTGAAACTAGCAAATAGAGAACCTACTCCATACTAGTTCCAAATACTGTTTATTTATGTTGAGTTGGGATTACGTAATTAAATTTTGAAATTGAATGTAGTTTATTTCTCCTGGCTAAAAACTTTTCTTGGACTACTATATATATTTCTTCACTACACAGGAATTACCATGTTTCAAAAACTGAAGCTAAAATCTTCAAATTTAATTATATAATTAAATTAAAAGCATTAGTTCTGTTTCATTTTCAAGTGAATTTTTCACTTGAAGATGAAACAGAACTAATGCTTTAATCAATATAATTAAATTTGAAGATCTTAGCTTTTTAGTTTTTTGAAACATATAATAAAAAAAACCATATTTTAAATCAGTTAATTTATAATATTTATGCTCTAACAAATTTACATTGAGCACTGCTTTGTAAAATAAAAATATCAATAAGAACACTGGATTATATATCTTACTGTTCTTTTTTATTATTATTATATATATATATATATATATATATATATATATATATAATGTTTATTGAATTTTTTCTAAAGCGATAGATTTTTATCTATTAATCCAACAGATTTTATTACTCAAACACTCTCCAGCATGTTTTTATTTGGTAATATTTCTAGAATATTCAGGCAGATAGAGAAAAACAGAGGAATATAGTGCTTGGCGGATAAACAAACCATCTACTCAAATATGGGAATCCTCTAAAAATAACGTTTAAGTAATATATATGTGTGTGTGTAATATATATATATATATATATATATATATATATATATATATGTGTGTGTGCGCATACACACACAAGTGTATTATTTTAAAGGATGCACATCTCGTTTAAATCTACTCAAAGCTCATATTCGCTAACTTTAATTTTGTATGCAAAACGTAAACAAAGTTATTTATAAGGAATTGATGGATTTTTATCCCAATCTGGCATTATTTTTAATTACTTTAAACATTATATTTTTAAATTTACAAATTATGCCAGGTGATATTTTATTTATTATTCACGGTAAAACATATACATACCAGCACCAAACAGGACGAGAAAGGCAATTATGCCAAGCCAGACCATCACACCAGCAACCCAACGCATCAAGACAATCCAAATCAATGATACAACCATTGTCACAATAAGACCACTGCAATACAAACAAAGAGTTTACGATTAGATTGGAATTTACGATTAGATTGGAACAGAAGAATGTTTTTTTTTTGTCAAACATTTCTTAATTGTCAAAAAAGGATCTTCTAAAACACTTTGGCATTGTTATTATTTATTTATCTGCCACAACCTTTAAAGGATGTGGGTTATCATGGCTCTCCACAACTTTATGTCTTTTGGTTATCTCTTTTTACAGTCCAGGTAACAATTATTAGCGCTAATAAAATTTCAATAAATAATGTAGAATATCTCCTGAAAAAACAAAAAGAATTTAATGAAAAAGATTTGACCTATTGACATATTGTCACTGGTTTCCAATTGCCTTCTCCATGGTTTGATATTCAAAGTTTTTTTTTTCTGATCCAAAAGGTAAACAGCCTATATATACTGCTATTTAATCCATAGATTGGGAGTGAGAAGAGATGGATTCATGTGAATGCAACAGGATTACAGAAGAGAAAAGAAAAAGAGAAAGGAAATTGAAGGGAAAAGAGAAAGAGAAAAAGAAAGAAAAGAGAAAAGAGAAGAAAGAAAAGAGAAGGAAAGAAAAGAAAAAAGAAGGGAAGAAAAGAAAAAAAAGAAAAGAGAAGGGAAGAAAAGAAAAAAAGAAAAGAGAAGGGAAGAAAAGAGAAAAAAGAAAAGGGAAGGGAAGAAAAGAGAAAAAAGAGAAGGGAAGGGAAGAAAAGCGGAAAAAGGGGAAAAAGAGAAGAAAAGGGGAAAAAGAGAAGAAAAGGGGAAAAAGAGAAGAAAAGGGGAAAAGAGAAGAAAAGGGAAAAAGAGAAGAAAAGGGAAAAAGAGAAGAAAAGGGGAAAAGAAGAAAAAGAGAAGAGAAAAAAGAGAAGAGAAGAGAAAAAGAGCAAAAAACATTCATTCATTTTAACATTGTTTTGCCTTGTCAATGTATTTAGTGATGAATATTAATCACATCACTCAATATACATTATTATATACTATATTATAGTATTATACAGTGAAAATTTCAGATCAAATGCAGATCCACCCTTATATATCTATGACATGGATTTTTAATTTTCTCAGTGAAAAACTAGTCAATATTTTGTTTTAATCCAATAATATTTATTAAAAGAATAACGATGATGCTACATCAGAAGTGGTTCCCATCGCTTCTGGTCTTAAATAATTGTAAGTAGTCATATGTACATATTTTGTCTTGGAGAATTGTTACAGTTGGGCATGTCTCTTAGGGGCTGATATACAGTGCATCAGCCCCTAAGAGATTCAAACAGTCTGATATTTCTGAGTTTGAATCACATACCACAAATTTATTTGTTTGCTGCTCTCTCACTCAATAACAATTACATTTATTAAAACATTTATTTTTTTAAATGTTATAGTAATAAAAAGTCACTTTGTAAAATTTTATCTGCAAATGTACTGAGATCAATGATAAAATTTGTAAGAAATAAAAAAAAAATCTTGTGGAAGAAATTGAATTTTAATACTTACATGAGAATTATCCACCAGGAAACAACAACATCACTGATTATTTTGTCAGCATATGCCTTAGCCTCCAAGACCTTTGTAATAAATCTAAACAGAGAAAAGTACAGGATATTTATTTAAGCAAAAAGAAACTATTAAACAACATTGAAATTAATACCTATCAAGTACAACATACAGCTCATGGATAAAAGGCCGAGGAAAAATTAAAATTTGTTAAATCAGAGTGAAGCTCATGCTGCTAACATCATTTCTGGACAGGGATCAAAGTGTGTTATCTGTTTCTTTTTTTTTTTTATTCCTTCTAAACAGTGGTTCTCAGCCTTTATTTATTTTATTTTTTAAACCCATGGACCACTTTTACTCTTAATTTTTTTTTGGGTGGACCCCCATAACTATAAAAAAAAAAAAAGGCTTATTTTATTTTTTACTAATAGATAAGTTTAGGAAATGTATTATAGAAATACTAAATGTACAGAGTGGGCCAAAAGTAGGTATACACTTTACAATTTCTGTTTACATTTATTCATTACAATTACATTTGCTTAACACTGTTTAATCTTGTAAATGCTTGAAATATCCTTCAATTTACTAGAAGGAAAGTTGGTTCTCTGTGTTGCACCAGAAAGTTTCTCTCACCTGAATCCATCCATCAAATCTATAAATCAACCATTAGCCCTTGCATGGAATACTGCTGCCATATATGGTCTGGAGACCCCGCTGTTCATTTCAAGATCCTTGACAAAGTCCAGAGACGGATATGCAATGTGGTTGGTCCTGGTCTAGCATCTTGTCTATAGTAACTTTCTCAAAGACGTGCCGTTGTTTCCTTCTGTTTTTTCTACACGTACTTTCATGGTAACTGCTCTGACAATCTATTTAAGCTGGTTCCCAAGCTGCATGAATTTAAGTGTGTTACTAGGTTGGCATCTCAGTGCCATCCTTTCACTGTCAAAACAGTTTAATGTAGCTGTCTCTTCTACTCCAATAGCTTCATGTCTCACACTTCCCATCTGTGAAACTCCCTTCCTCTTACTTGCTTCCCTGACAGTAAGAGTCTTCAAATATTCAAATGTAATGTCAATCGACATCTTCTGAAACCATGATCTAATTCCCCGTCCTTCTCTTTATCTTTTCCTCAATCATGTCTCTTTACTCTTGCTCCCACTCTCTGTAACCCCTTGTGTGCACTCCCACCTTGTAAGATTCCTCAAACCTCTCCAGAACATGGTGACACACAGTATGACACAAATTCCAGTCTACATCAATGTCAATAAATGCTTCCAAGATTAACTCTTAGTTCGTCTACTGTATGGGGATTTTTCTCATAAACCTTATTCTTTACTACATCCCCACCAAAAAAGACATCCATTGGTGTTAAGTTGGGTGAACACAGTGGCCATTCGATGCTGCAACATTGTTCAATCCAACATCGTGGGAAAGTTTGATCAAGTTAATCTCTTACTGTCATAGCAGAATGAGGTTGTGCGCCATCTTGTTGAAAAACAGTTTGGCAAAGTTAGTTCTGGTTCTGAATTGTGCACTGCCACATAAAAAATACCAAGTCATATCAGTATATAAATAATTAAACAACTGTATACCTACTTTTGGCCCACCAGGCTTTATTTTGAAATAAATTTAATTTAATGAAAATAAATTGTATTTCACAACTAAATTCTATAGAACATTTATGTAATTGTACACTATCCTCTGTTTTATTTAACTTTTACAATCAAAACATCTGAATGGGACACTAACTTATATCACTTGATCTCTTTTTCTGATAGTTTTAGAGTTTATTTTATTTTTAGTATTTTAATATGGTATAGATTACTGAAGAAATTCTAATTCACAGTTGTAAAAACTTTTCCAAAGTGAAATTGCTCTATGGACCACTAAAATATTACTGTGGACTCCAGATTTGCTATTTTTCTGTGTGGGCCCCAAATGTTACATGGACGCTGGTTGAGAACTACTGGTCTAGAAGGACAACTCTTGAATTCAAAACTGCAGTGAAAGCAACAGTTACTCTCATATTCTACTTGGCTACTCACTTATTCAGGTTTATTTTAATTTGAAAAAAAAAAAAAATTGCTTATTTTATTTTTTACTAATAGGAACTGTATTATAGAAAAATTATGAAAATATATTATATTTAAAAACTAAGTTTTACAGAACATTTATGTGCACAAATAAAATAACTATTTTTTGGGGGGGTGGATGCATGGACACCAATAAGGGTCCATATGGACCCTGGTTGAGAATTTACTGCTCTAAACAGTGTAGAAGCTTGGTGCTGTAGATGCTGACCCTGCAGTAGCATCTTCTTCATTGCACTAAGTGAGGTGGGGGTCAGTGTAATATCAATGCTGGTGTGACACTGGTCGCTGGGACTGGGTAATTTTTGCCCTTGACATGCATACACAACATTCAAGTTAAACTGACCTTGTGTGACATCTACCACCATGGGAAGGTGAGAAAATAGTGGACTTTCAGCTGGGATTAAAGCATAGTATCTGCTCTTCCCTGTCATGTTTCTACTTTCAGGCAGCTCATGGTTTTTATAACGAGGGATACTTAATCCTGAGGGTTCCAACCCTAGGTCAGTACCTCCCAAATTATGCTAAAGACGAATTGTCACTGGTTATCAGGATGAAGCAGATTTTACTCTTGGCCAATATGCACACGTATAGTCATATGAAACCTATGCTCCTCTGCCATCAGACTGGGATCAGAGTGTAATAACTGCTCAACTTTGTCTACCATGTTTTGACTTCAAGCAGCTCATGACAAAGCAATGCTTAAAACATTGTCCCAAGGATTTCAAATTTACCCACTGCACCAGACTGAGAAGGCCAGAGTACTCTGATGTCTGTATGATAGGTCTTGCATAGACTGGGTAATTTTTGCTCTAGGCCCATATGTACACATGTGGGCACATGAAACTGACCATCCCATTGCTGTGTGAGATAGATATAGAATCAGTGGAGAGTAGCGGTTTTGCTCCTTAGCCATATTGTCATCTTCAGATAGGGCATGGCAAACAAGGCCAGCCTAGTCCTGGAGATTCCAATGTAGGACTGGGTAATTTTTGTCTTTCTTGACTGGTATGCCACAGTTCCTATTATACCGACTGTGTTTCATGTTTTACCCTCCAGAGATGGGGTTAAATATCAAGTGAAGCTCACCTGTTTGTTTGCTTGTTTGCTTAGTGGGATATCGACTCCTTATGGGTCATTTAATGCTGAAATTTAGTTTTGTTGAGAGCATAAGTAATTTCTTTTGCAAAAATGCATTGCTGGTAATTTTTTTTACTATGAAAATGTATTTCTGGTATTTTTACTATAAAAATGTATTTTTATACTTCCATAGTATTTGACCCTAACAGGTGCTACTACCCCAGGTCAGGGCAGACCTGGGAACAACTGAAATTAAGAGGTGGTTCCATGCTTCTCAAAACCTCCTGATCAGAAGCCTTACTGCTGGATGTGGTTTATCATCATACCCCCCAGGATGGACCTTAATAATTAATCATGGTTAAAAACATATGTAATGACTAATATTAGTATTATTAGTATTAACTTATGACCAATATTTCTTTCATATTAATTTTGCTTGATTTTTATTATTTTTTTTAATCCTTTCATCCCAAGCAAGGCAATAAATCCACCAAGACACAAGGAGTGTGAAAGAATAAGAACAAGAAAAACAAAACAACAAAAGAAGCAGAATCAAGAAGACAATAGATAATGATTGACATTGCACTTAAATTTTTGAGGGTCAAAGTTGGCTGGGAAACAAGAAGCCAGAAGAGAGTTCTACAGGCAAGAAATGCGAGAGAAAAAACTGTCAGCAAAGAACTTACAGTTACATCTAGCCAATTCAACTGCAAAATGATGTGACCTTGTTGCTCATCTGAGTACCATAGAGCAAAGCTCATTAGAACAATTACCATTAAAGTATTTATAGAAAAGGCACAAGGAAGCTACATTATGGCAGTGCAAAAATGACTGAAGCTGGGATGCCAAGTCAGGACCAATAACATTGCAGATTCTTCTTTAGATTTTATCAATAATCTCTAAATATATAGCAAGACCACCAAACCATATGTGGCAGCAATATTTGAAGTATAGACAAATGATAGACTTATATATATATATGTAAGATAGATTCTGTAGAGAAAAATTGTCTAGTTCAACACTGGGAAACAACTTTCTTAGCAGAAGACCTAACAACTGATTCAATATAATTTTTCCATTTCATGTTAGCAAAGAACATTAGTCTTACAAGGATCAACAAATCACTGTCCTAGAGGTTAGCATCAGCCATGATAATGAAAGACAAAAAGGGGTCCCTCAGATGATTAATAGAAAGCCGTTTTCTTTTGAAGGTGTTAAAATTAACAAGCCATTCCTTGCCCCAGTTAACAGCAGATTTTAGATCACTTTTGAGATCATCTGCCAATCTGACAACATTGAACCAATCAGATTCACTATTATGACAGGTGTAAATAGTTGTGTCACCAGCATAGACACAAAGTTGGGAGCTGAGGTCATCAGAAAGGTCAATGATGAAAATTAGGAACAATGCAGGTTCAAGGATAGAGCCCTGGGTGATACCTGCATTCATGCAAAGAGATCTAAAAACAACTTCCATTTCGCAATTTGATGAGAAAGACTGAATCAGTTCAAAACTTTGTCCAGAAATTGCATAACCTATCAACTTGTGAAGGAGACCAGTATACCAAACTCTTTCAAATGCCTTCGAGATGTGTCCAAAGCAAAAGCCTGAGCTTCACCATTCTTATCTAAAGCTTGAAAGACTTTCAGCAATAATTGTTAATATATCAGCAGCTGACTTAGGGAAGTGAAAGCCATATTGCTTATCTGAATGAAGACCTTGTGATGTGAGGTGATTAACCAGTTCAGAGATGACTAGGGCCTCTAGTACTTTATCAAAAAGAGGTAGAAGACTAATAGGCCAATAGTTAGAAGGATTAGATGATTCGCCTGAGTTTACAAGGACTGGACTAGTGAGAATTGTCATTCTGCAATTAACCAATGCAGATTGGAAATCTATAGTTTTTTTGTTTTTTTTTTATCTGCAGTATAGTAACGGCTGTGTAATGATCATCTGAGTTTAGTTGCAATAAAAAGCAATTAGAATGAAGATGAAAGAAATACTAATGAAAAATGAATAAGAATTGACAAGGCTTCATCTAATAATAATAATAAAATTCAATATTACTACTAATACTACTAGTGGAATTAAAGCAATTGAAATGTAGATGAAAGAAATACTAGTGAAAAATGAACAAGAATTGACAATATGAAGCATTGGCAATTCTTATTCATTATTCTAATAATAAAATTCAAAAATAATATTAATCCTAAATTAATAGTTTGTAATGCACAGAAACATTTCAGTGATAATTCATCTGGATTTGACTTTCCATCAGATGAATATAAAAACTGACAATTCAACAATGGGTAATTTGAGTTATCGATAAAATGATTTGACTCCAATTCATGAAAATGTTAAGGAAGAATAAAAGTCAGTAATAAAATTTAAGCCTGACTCACTTTGAGGCTGTTTTCACTTCACTCACATTGACAGCTGACTGTACAGCAGATACGGATGCGCCAAAAAGGCTTGCAATATCAGGCACACAACGTCCCACAACTAAAAACAAAAATGAATACTAATTTCTTAATATACAAATACATTTAAACAGTAATACAAAATATACCAACCTTTTGAGTGACTTAACCTACATATAAAGATGCTTTTTAAAAATACTTTGTAAATCTGTGAATACTGCATGGAATATATGGCTTCAACACCATGCTAGGTAATGATGTTGCAATTTCATCTTTTTATTCATATTTCTTTTATTATTTTAATTACACTTCAACTCCTTTATGGTTATTTATATATTTTTTTTTTATTTTAACTGGGGAGGGGGTGATATTTTGGTTTTAGTTTGTAGGTCGATTTAATTTTAAACATATAAAATTGTATTTTATCTTTGAAAATGATGAAAAATACAATATTTTTCTTGAAAAACCCTAACCCAACACCCTGATGATGACATTGTGCTATGCCAAAAGTAATCTGAATAAAATAATATGTATCAACACAGTAATTTTCTCTCTTCCTTTAATAATGACTAATGAATATGAATTTCATGAATATTTCTATATATTCATCTTTTCAGACTGAAAGTTCTTAAATGGAGACAATTTCTCTGGAATGATATACTAGATTAACAGGAAGAAAGGAAAGCAAGAAAGAAGAGAAGAATGGAGAGGAAGAAAGAAAAGTAACAGATTATAAAGTTCTTTTTAAACTAGTGAACTAGAAAGAGGGGAGGAGAAAAGAGTGTAAAGGAAAGGAAAATGGAAGAAGAAAGAAATGAATGGATAGTAGTAAAACTAAAATGGAATCACCTGCCCAAGAATTTTTCCTTAAAGTGTGGAAATTTGTACATCGGCTAATACAGAAAATTGACTGATATGTCCTGTTATTCAAGGCAGGACAAATCAACACAATTTCAAATTAGTCTCTTGAGCTTTCTCTGGATTAATAACTTCCTTGGAATTATCCCTACTATTCACAAATTGGTCATATATGAAAAATTTCTCAGTTAACCTGTAGAAAAAGACTATGTATGAAAGTAAAAGACAATAGAAAACTATTATTAACCGTATAATGTGGGTGTTTTTGGATGGTACTCAATAAGTTTTATCCAGAAGTCTTCATTTTTAGTAGTTTTTTATTATGTCGCTTGTGAATTTTTGTGTTTCTTTTATAGCTTTGTTTTCCTTTACTTTTTCATAGATGTTGTCATCGTTAAAGAGTTCTCTCATCTTCTGTTGCTAAATGTGTTTATCCATGATTACAAATCTCCTAATCAGTGTTGCATACTTTCGTTTATCTAGCTGTTTCAAATTTTAACATTTGAAACCAGAGTAAATTAGATTTTAAATCTACTGCATAACAGACACCATTTTAATAAGTCACCTTTTCCTGCAACTTTCTGAATTTAAAAGGCTTTTACTCTTAAAATTCTGTTATTTAAATTGAAAGCCGAATATTGTGGAAGAGAGTGAAATTTCATTCTTGTAAGTAATACTTACATGGTTTTGATTTCAGTACATATAAGGGACATTTTCCTTCCTGTAAAAAAAAAAATTTAAAAAGATTATATTTTTTCCTTTTTAATAGTTGACATAACACAATTTTCTTAACAGGCAATATTGGATATTTGAATGCTTACAAAATGCTATGTTTTCGAGTTACCATTAGAAATTGCAATAGAAGACTACTTTGGCAAATAAAATTTAATACATTAACATGTCATCCGTTACTTCATATACCCTTGAAATGAGTGTGAAAAAAAAAAAAACAGAGAAAGATATAAAATAGGGAAATAAGTAGAGAGAGAGAAAAATAAAGAGATAAGTAGAGAGAGAGAGAGAAATAAAGAGATAAGTAGAGAGAGAGAGAGAGATAAAAATAGGGAGAGAGATAAAAAAGAGATAAGTAGAGAGAAAAATAAAATAAGGAGAGAGAGATAAAAATAGGGAGAGAGAGATAGGGAGATAGAGAGAGAGATAAAAAATAGAGGAGATAGAGAGAGAGAGAAAAATAAAGAGATAAGTAGAGAGAGAGAGAGAGATAAAAATAGGGAGATAGAGAGAGAGAGATAAAAATAGGGAGAGAGAGAGAGAGAGATAAAAATAGGGAGATAGAGAGAGAGAGATAAAAATAGGGAGATAGAGAGAGAGAATAGGGGAGATAGAGAAAAGAGAAAAATATAGAGAAAAAAAATAGGGAGATATAGAGAAAAAAAATAGGAGATAGAGAGAGAGATAAATGAGAAAAACAAAAATATAAAAAAAAGATAAAAAAATAATGAAAGACATAAAAATAAAGATAAAAATAATGAAATAAAAAGATAATAAAAAAATAAATAAAACAAAAATTAACTCAGCAATAAAAGTACAAAATGTCAGAATAGTGGGTTCTGTAATTTAATTGGCAAAGTATAATGCAATGATTTATTTTTTTTATTTTTTTTTTACAGATTAACTGTTTGTGGATTATTTAAAGCCAAAACATTTATTAATTGTAAGAAAAATTCATTCTGTGAGTGATTATTGTATTAAGAAGTTTTTGAAAATAATGATCTTTTCCAGATACAAGTCCTATTATTTAATCCATAGCTGAGGGCAGGAGATAGAATCATACAGTTCCCAAGGGTATTTGCCCATAAGCAAATGTAATGACCTCGACTGGAATTCAGTCTCAGTTCTCCAATTCCTCATCCCAAGTTGCTATCCACTACACCACCCACACATCCTTGGTAAGATACAAGGAGAGTGTGTGTGTTCAACTGACAGTAAAAAGCCTGCTATGAAAAATTGAAAAAAGAATTCTTACCGGTGTACAGTATGGTTTAGTAAGGGCTGGCGTTACTCCAGATTGTGAAGGACAGTCTTTAACACAGACCTGTAAACACAAATTTAATGCTTCAAAAAATACTTGAGAGAATGACCAAAATTATACAGATAATATTCCTGGTTTACCATTAATACATGTCTCAACTGGAAGCAACAGAGATGTAGTTCTACAGAAGGATGCTGAGAATATCATGGATGGAGTGCATAAGCAACAAAAAGTCTTCAGAAATATGAAGATTAAAAATAAAAGAATTAAAAAAGAAGGATGCTTAGAATCAGAAACAGCTGAAATTTCTGGGATGCATAAGGAAATAGGGCCAGGAAAATTTGACACTCACAGGATATATCAAATGCAAAAGGGACAGGGGAAGTAGGGAGGCCATCTACTTGAGAAGTTGTGGGAATGGATGACTGTACTGTGTGTGGAAGGGATGGCAAGGAGGCAAATGTTGCTAAGAACTACCATGGATGGGATGTTGTGGAGAGCCATGACCGTTCACGTCCTGAAGCAAGAGGGCACATAGAAGATTTTCTCTCTGCTGAAAACCTCCTTCTTCCAGATTTTAACTGCACAACTGATTGACTGCTAAAACTTGATCAAACAAAAATCCTTAAATCTAACACACACACACAAAAAAAAAAAAAGAAAGAAAAGATGAACAATACAAGAGAAAAACATGAAATAAACAACAAAAAAAAAAACATTCATTCTTTCAAGAATATTGCTAACTAGCTAACAAATTTTATGGTAAGGGAACAATACTAAATAGAGAAAATATAGATGGAAATTAATTTAATTTTACCATAACTATATGGAGCTTTTTTTTTTCTTTTTTAAGTATTTCACCCCAAGCAAGGAAGAAATGCCACTAGTCCACAGGGATTACAGAGAATGAAAATGAGAGATAAGACTGGCTGTAAGAAGGATTGAGGAAAGGATAAGAGATAAATGGGATTCAAGGAGATAGAAAATGGCAATCGACATTTCATTTAAATTTTTGAAGATTGTTGTTATTAGGGAAGCAAGGAAATGGAAGGGAGTTCCACAGAGGAGAAGTGCAGGAAAAGAAACTGATGGCGTAGGAGTGGCAGTTACATTTAACTATTTTGACAGTAAAAGGGTGGGACCTAGATGCTAATCTAATAGCCTGCTTAAATTCACATAGTCAGGGCACCAGGGGAGAAAGCTTGTCAGAGCAGTTGATGGCATAAGTGGAAGGTGGTGAGGAAAGGGAAGAGATGTTATTGTTTGGAAGAGGAGTCTCCTTCCATAAAAATATGAGGTTACTGTCTTTCTGGGATTTCTTCTTTATTTCTTTTCTGTCTTTTAGCACCACTCAACTCTACTTGAGACTCATTGGGCCTCAGTCTAAACTAAAAATTTATCCATTGAGATTTGTTTTTCTCTAGGTTTTAAAAAGTTTCTAAAGCGATATATCACATTGTCATTGAAAATGTTTATACTGCAGCTTGCTACTGCTTTATCAAAGCTACACCACAACTGATACACTCCAACAATACTCCCAGTTTGTCCTTTGAGATTTGTCTTTCTCTATGTTTTGAAATGTTTCTAAAGCAAGACATGATTGTTGGCATTGAAAATGTTTATACTGCAGCTTGCTACTGTGTGACACCATTCCACAAAGCTTTGCACCTCACCCCAAAGAACTTGGAACATTCTCCCTTCCTACCACTTCCTCTGAAGACATTTCCTCCACATTCACAATAAACACAATGAAAGTCAAGAGAAGGTACAGGGAAATTTGAGCAGGGATGTGCATGGAGCAAAAGCTACACCACAACTGATGCACTCCCACTGATAGCCCTGATTTGTCGCCATTATGTTGTTGCCAACTTGCATGTAGATCATGAGACACCATTTGTCACCTGAGCTGATTTCTTCATGATGAGGTCTATATGACCTGCAGTTCCACTAAATCTTAACCATTTTACCCCCAAGCAAGGTGACAAAGCCACTAAGACACAAGAATGAAAAAAACTGAGAAAACAGGAGATAGAGGACTTAAATAAAAAATAAAAACCAGGATTCAAGGAGACAGAAAATGATTGGCGCTGCATTTAATTGTTTGAAGATGAAAGCAAGTTCCACAAGCAAGAAGACAGAGTTCCACAAATGAGAAGTGCAAGAGAAGAAACCATTAGAATAGAACTTGCACTTACACTTATCAATGGCAACAGTAAAACGAAGAGACCTAACTGCCAATCAGTGTTGGAAATTAAAATTAAAGTAACAAAAATAAACTTTTGTCATTTATGTATGTGCATTTATTTTACTGATGCACTGTTTTATTTTTTAATTAAAAAAACAATGTAAAAAGTGTCAAATTTGGCAGTTGTTTTTTAGTTACTTGGAAAGAGAAGAAGGGGTGACTTATTTACTTTGCCCATATATGGTCCTCTCATAAAGACATCTGAGCTTATCCATGCCTTAGACATGCATGAATTTGCATGTTTACAGGCAGAGAGGCAAAGCAAGGCAGAGTTTGGATGTTTTGGGCAGGGGGTGATAAGCTTGCCTAATAGGCAGTATGGGAGTGATGTCATCATTCCTTCCTCCTTCAAGTCACTGAAACATCAAACAGGGAGAAGCTGAACATCGTTATGACAACTGATTGTAACAGAAAGGCAAAACAGTCAAAGAAAATGCATTTGTTGTAAGCATATCTTTTCTTAAAGAGCTAAATCAAATTTATAACCAGTTTTTTTAAGACCCCTAGAGGTTGTTTGTTTAATTAAAATTATAACAGTTAATAATATGAAAATAATCAGAGTAATCCTTTTCTTTTCTGCTTTTTTGTATTGTAATTGTAATGCAAGTACAAAGATTACCTTTTTTTATTTGAAAATGTTTCGTGTTAAATGGCTGGGAAAATTCCCATAGCACTATAATTGTAAAATAAAGTTTGTCTTTCTGATTTCCAAAACCTTTGAGTATTGTTGTTGTCCGTTTCCTTCACACCATTGTTTACATTACATTGAATGTTGTTGTTAACCTTCATATCAGACTTGCTGCCACTTGTTCCCAAACCATCCCGTTAACCGGTCTCGATTGCAAGCAGACTATTTTTTTTTCAATCCCATTTTTCCGATATCTGCTTAAATCTGTAAAGTCAATGTACTAAAGAGTAAAGCTCATCAGAACAATTACCGCAAAAGTATTTGTAGAAAAGGCAGAAGCACACAAAAGCTACATTACAGCAGTGAGAAACTGACTGGAGCCTAGATGCCAGGTTAGGACTAATAACATGGCAGATTCTTTGGATTCTATTAAGCATCTCTAGATTCAAACCAGAATCTGACAGATTTATCTTCAGATGGAGATTTATTTTTCTTCTGACCAACTAATCAGATGAAAGGTAAAATTTTCAATAATTCTAGTTTTTAAGTTGCCAAAGGTATGAAGTTTTTATATCTTATTTACATTATTCACATGCAGACTAATGTCCTCATCTTTGTTGCTGTCTGTTTTGGTAGTTGTGTTCTACAGCCTTCATCAAGTGTATATAAATCCTGACCTGAGCACATTATTTAATCGGAGTGGGGGTGAAGAAGGTTAGACGGCTCTTGTTCCATTGCCCATGTCTTCTAAGGATGTCTTATGTCTAACTCTTACCTTTAGTAGTACTCGCCCTGTTTCCAAAGAGTCCAAGTATGCACCACCCAGCCTAGGGATTGAATAAAGAAGTGCCACATTAAATAAAAACTTCAGTTTGGAATTCCCTGGAGGTTATAAACCTGATGAAGGCAGGAGGGCACAACTGCCGAAATGTCGTGTAACAACAAGAAAGATGAGGACAATAGTCTGCATGTAAATAACGGTAACTCCTCATCTCAGAAATTAAGGCAAAAAAATTTTTTTTTTTTTTTTTGTACAACTTACTTGTGTAGTAGGACATCCCATAAGAAATATGGCAGGTGTTGCACACCTGGTAATGTCAAAGAAAAGCAAGTTTGGTTTGTCTCTGAAAAACAAAAAAAAATTGTTTTAGATTTGCTTCAAGAAATAATTCCTTGCTACAGTCACTGAAGTGCACCTCCCAACACATCATGTCATCAGACATGTACAGTAGTCTCCGATTGCCCTGACATCTGAAGAAAGAAGGAATGGCTGTTGGGTCTTAATATAATCTGTCTGGAGCCCATAGTGCTAACTTCATCAAAACACCGAATAACCATTTTGATTGTATCAGGCTGGTAATCATCTTCTATGTGCTGTGTCCCTTTAGGACATAGACGATCATGGCTCTCCACAATTTCCAATCCTTTGTAGATCTTAATAAATTTTGTCTTTTTGCATTGTTTTCCTCTGTTCCTGTTGCCTTCAGTCTATTCTGTGACTATTAATATTTTCTAAGCCCTTATCTTCATTATGTGCCCTAGAAATTTCAATTATCTCTTCCTGATATTAAGTATAAGTATTTTTTTTGTTTCTATTTTCTCTAAAATTTTGTTGTGGCTCACATGTTCTGTCAATAGCATTCTCAGTATTCTTCTGTAGAAATACATTTCTTTTGCTTCAAGTCTCTCCTTCATCTGTGAGGATATTGTCCAGCATCCACTGCCAAACAGTTCAGTTGTGACACTGATCTCCGGAGGTTGATCATACAAAAAGAGAAAGAAAGAAGGAAGGAATAGGGGAGAGTCTACTAACTGGATGATGATGGTTAAAATTGCTGGAAGATGAATTGAAAAGTTGAAAAGAAAATTAAAAAAAAACAAAATGCACTGAAATTTCAAAGAGAATTAAACCCAGATTTAACTAGACGAAATTCAATAAGATTGAACAAACTCAAGTCTTTCCCCATATCCCACCAATAAAAAAGAGAACATTAAGGTATCTGCAAAGATGTCAGATAAAATAAAAATACATGTTGCTGATAGAGAAAACCAGGTGGTCAGCAAAATAGCATTCACAATTCCCCAGGATCAGACAAAATAAAAACACGTTTCGAATCAACTACCCAGAAGAAAAGATAATTGTGGCAACATTTGTCCAGAGAAAATTTTATATCCAAGCATTAATTCAGATTTCCTTGGACACAAGTGGTAAGGAAAAAATTATTCACTATTTTGAAATGACCATGAGGAAGAAGGCTGTATGGTCTAGTTGATGGTAAAACAAATGTGTAAAGACAGAGGAAAGATAAACCTTTGTTTTTAAGGAGATTGGAAATAATCTTATTTCCTTTTCTTTTTCCAATTCTTGAGTGGTCTGATTGGAGAAATTACAGCATGGGACAAGATGATACAGAAAGATTAATGACTGAAAATACCTTTTGTTTTCGTTGGGCCATCTGGAAATAGGCTGAGGTTAGCTGTTGAGAAAGTGGGAGGGAGAGAGAGAGAGAGAGATTAGCACTGACTATATAGAAGTGATGGTATGAGGCAAGGTGTAAAGTGAGTAGCAGTTAATGGAGGGCTTGATTCCTCTTACCACTCTCAAAAGGGGGCTGGACAACCCCAAATTTGGAAAACCACTTGAGTAAATGTATTTTTATACATGAAAATTTAGAAATGGTTGATAGGGTAGAAGACAATCAAACCCAGGCCCTAGTCAACACCACCCATGCTGGATGCTGTACTCCATATAAGCTGCAGATTTTGGACTCAGAAGCAGTTGGGTTGACGGTTGGAATTGAAGAACAGAGAAGAGAGACACACCGGAATCTGAACCATTAGCCAAGATTTCCTGAGAGAGAGACAGACATTAAAGGGTAGTGAAAGAGAGAGAGAGAGAGAGAGACCTTATGCCAGATGTGAAGACCAGAACTTAGAAATTTAAGTTGCTACTAAAACAAGCTGTATAGTCTGAAGAGGATCCCAGTGTCATTAGATTATAACAAGTGGGAAGGGTTAAAATCGCTGTATATAACAAAATGTATATAAACCAAATCCATGTTACATTTTTTACCAGAGTTAATTCTTTATTCCAAAAGATTCTTGTTTTTCTGTGTAGCACCCAAATTGTCAAACCGTCTCCACTTCAAGTTTCCTTCATCAGCAATTTTCTCACACTGAGACCAAAAAAAAAATGTGGCAGGAGTGAATGGTTGTGAACAGACAAACATCAGCTAAGTTGAGTGGAACTGTGCCAGCAACATGATATCAGTGAAAAAAATGAGTTACATGATAACGAGTGAAGAGTCAGCTAAATGGTAACCACAGCAGTCTGAAGGAACTTGAGGACCAATGACTGGATGACGTAATTGGTTACCACTGTCTAGGGCTAACAACAGGGGTACATATTTAGTTGCTGTTGACCATGTTCAATTGCTGAGTGTGACACATTACTCTTTTCTTTGTTTCTAACAAAATTTTCCTGTTTCTTAATACTTTGCTTAGCATTTGGAAGGCATATTTTGCTATCCCAATGTGTGTTCAAATTTCAGTGTTGCACTTTATGTCCTCTGTTAAAACACTTTCCAGATATTTAAATTGTTGTACATGTTTGACTTTGGTATTTCCAATTGGTAATTTGCATATTTTTAATGCCTAATCTAAAAGAGCTGAATTATTGTTTTTATACTTTCTGCATATAATTAACCCTTAGGAGGCGACAGGGAAGATCTATTGGCTGAAAAGTCGAATGACAAAGAAGACAACTGGGCTGATCCATCAGTCTGGCTGATCCATCAACCCGATAATACAAGCCTTGAGATTGGCTAGTTGGTCTTCATATCAGCAAATTAGATTGCTTCTTGCACATCTGGGACTTTCAATGGCAGTTGCTATAAGTTTGCCGTGTTCTGTGATATTGATTTTTTTTATGTTCCAAGTGAGGGCTTGTGAAAAGGGATCTGTCTTTTTGGCACTGAAACTCCAAATGAGCCTCTGTCTCCAAAGGAAAGTAAAAATAAGCACAGAAATTACCCCTTAAAAAAAAAAAATGCATTTTCTTATTTTTTTTACTAGATTTGCATGTATGCTCATGCAACTTTTTTCTGCCAATTAAAGTTTATCAAATAATGTCCAATTTACATATAATCATGATAGAAAAATTTTTTTTTTAAAAATCCCACTTACTTTAGGTCACCATAGCCACAAAGTTGTTTCTGAGAATCCAT